GAGGTTTTTTTGCTATTTTGCCTAAATATTTTAATATTCCAATAGCATATATGCATATCATATAGTATATATATATAAATCATGCAATGCTTATATATACTCCCCCGTTCTAATTCAATGTATCATTTTTACCATTTTTGTCCGTATTCATTCAAAATATCTTTCTTATTTTAAAAAAAAGTAATTATACTCTAAAACTAAAATATTTTTAACTTTTACTTAAATTACAAACATACAATTACAAATATAATTATTTTATATATAAAATTAAAATGCTTCCACTTACCGAGGGAGTATGTATATCTTGCAACATATATATACATCTCACTACTCATAGAAAAAACGAAAATGGCTGCATAAATACACAATAAATAAATTTTTTTTGCAACGTATAAATAAAAATGAAATCATCGTATAATTAATAAAGTAAAATTATATATAAATCCTGCAAAATATTTATATTATCATATTCCTTTCTCTATGTAGTTTTTTATATTGCAAAATCACCAACATGACAATATGAAAAAAAATAGATGGAAGAAAAGTATGTTGACAAAAAAAAAAGATAAAAAATAATCGAAATAAAAAGACCAGAAATTCAATACTAGAAATTTCGATGGTGATGGTGGTGGGTCTTGCGGCACAGTAGAGAGGTCCAGCGGCCGCAGTAGAATTGTTTGGTATTACAACAATTTTAATATCCGATGGCGGCGGTGGTGAATCCAATATCGACAAGGTGGTCCGCCAGAATTGTTTAGCTAGAACAAAGTAGTGGTTTAATGAAGTTGAAAAGCAACTTCCTTGTAAAATAAGTGGGGTGAGTTAACGTGAATGTTGATGAAAATAAAAGTGTGAAAAATAATTGAATGGAAAAAATGCCACCTAACAACATTGTATTTTTTGTATTTGGATAAGATATTTATCTATTTTAATTTTAATGGATAAATAAATTTAATTTTCAAGAATACATAATATTTATTCTTCCCAAATATGTTTTATTATTAAAATGATTATATTTTAATTTGACTTTGATAAAAATATAAATGATATATATTTAAGTTTATAAATTTCAATTAGATCTAAAAAATTATCAATTTGACTAATCAAATAGAATATAATTTATTTACTTTCTTGTAAAAATTATTATGAATATAATATATTTTAATATAAGTTAGTGTGTTCAAAATAGGATGTGTTTAATTCTCGTAAGGGATTATCTGGTGGTGTGGGGTGGGCTCGTGATCGTGAGATCATGGGTTAAAACCTCGACGCCTCAAGGTGTTGTCTGTCACACATAGTTCGTCTAGTATGAATCGCCTACTATTAGATTCGCCGAGAGTTTATTCAGAGGGCACTTGAAGGGTAGCGATTGCAAATTCCCACGCTATCATAAATAAATAAATAAATAAAATGTAATTTTATTGGTTGAAATGGTTGGTAAGTTACATACATAAATATACAAACTGATATAGCTTGTTGAGTAGATTTTTCATAATTTCATTTGTTTAGAAACATTGAGAGATTTGTGTATGTATGAATTGAGAAACTCTTTATGTTCTTCTCACTAATTTTCAACGAGAAAAATAAAAATAAAAATCCATTTTGTTTCTAGATTAGTTTTTCCCTTCAATTAAGGGAGACAATATGTATGTCTTGAAGAATTTGTAGTGAAATTTATCCATATATTGAGTTTAAGAAATATGAGAACTTTCACTTATTTTCTTGAATTAGAAACTTCGTTGTTTGCCAATACCTATTATGACTAGGCCAATTCATACTCACTAGTATGATATTGTTATTATTATTATTATTATTATTATTATTATTATTATTATTATTATTATTGTGCCCATAAAGATTTATTTTTGGATTTTTTCGAACAGTTTTATACTAGGGATGTTATATGTGAAACTTATAAAGTGTGAGTTTTATGAGTTTTAAATTTTTTAATATAGGATTTGAGTTTGCATTTTAATAATATTTCCCTTAAATTCAAAATTATATAACTTTTGATCTCCCCTCCAGTAATATTTTATTAATATGTCAATCTTGTATCACATTTATTAATAAAAGAATCCGCCGCCTGACTATAGCTTGATCACATCTACCGAGACCATCACAATGCCAATAAGACTTTCGATACAAGCCATCACTGTAGATTCTCAATTACAAGGTTACCATGGACTTCCCACGACCAACGCCGTACAATTCACTCCACTAACTAACACGATATTAACAAGGACTTCTCACAACTAATGTTGTCCAGTCCATTCCAACAAATAATTTCACTTTAGCTGTAATATCAATTATTAAGAATGAGATAACTTAACACTAAGTATGATATCATTCGTTTTGGACGAAATCCACACAGTATTGCTTTTGAACTTTCCAAAAAATCTTATGCTAGTAAAATTATACGTGAGACTAAATTGTGAGTTATTCTTATAAATTTTCAATGTAAAACTTGAATCTACGTACCAACAATATCAACGGTCTAATTCAGAGAACTAGAACAAGCCAACTGAAGGTCAGATCTTGCAAACTTGTCTTTGGGGAGAAGATTGCACTTGAATGTGGTAAAAAAAAATAGTGTATTGTAGTTGCTGTTTATGACTGTGTTTAAAGGTTTGCATATGAAGTTGTGTACTTTAGTTTTTGCCTTAACATAGTAAAATATCCACTGCTCTTTGAGACAAGTCAAATTTGAGGCGCAACTGAATAAATAAATACTAATGTGTTGTTTGCAATTTAATTATACACAATTTATTTTGTGATATACTTGTCATTCAAAGAATAAATAGCCGATAATATTTGAATACAATAAGATTTTTAAATTTAACCATTATTTCACTGCATATTAAAAAATAATTTTTACCCGTAAAATACACCAATAGGATTATATACATGAAATCTATTTTTTTTTCTAATAATAATATTAATAATAATAATAATTAGTTTGTCCACTCTCGTCCACGCACTGAGATTGTCCACATCAACTCTAATAATAATATGCCAAGATACAATCAAAGAACTACAATTTTTACCGATGAACAAGATATTTTTGTTTTGTCCGGTACATTTTTTTTTTTAAAATATTATATTTAAATTATAAAAATATCTTTACTGTCTATGTAAAGTTTGTTTAACACAATTTCTTAAATTTCTATTATCCATCAAAATTTTACTTTAAAAATATCAAATTAAATATTTATTTTTATTTTTTATATTAAACTAAAAAATAAATTTTACATTCATAACACCACGTTAACACTTATTTATACCACCTTATATAATTATTTTAATTTAAAATTTTTACTATTCAAATTTCGAACTAAAACTCTAACCCCCGACAAACACACCCTTAGAGAATGGCTTCACTTGGACTCTTATCAATGCATTATGATGTTTACAATAAAATGCTTTAATGTTCTTTAGGATAGTAGGATGTGTTTAATTTTTTATTTTTTATTTTGTGCTTTTTATTGTTAAATTTTAAAAATGTAAAATTATTACTAAGATATTTTTGTTTCCATTGCTTTTTTTCTTTTTTAGATTTAAGAGAAAATAATATTTTTATTAAAAATTATATAAAATATTTGTTTAAGTGAACAAAAAAGAAAAAAGAAAAAAACCCAAGCATATTACACTGCTTCCTTTAGTTAACTCAACATATAAGAATGGACAGAAAAAATCCATAACAACCTCCATCATTTTATCACATCTAGGTGTTACCACTAAACCCCCCGTCTTTAGACATCTGAGTCACCATAACGAACCCTACGTCATATCATCACATCTAAGTGCGGCCCCTATAGCGAGCAAAGCCGAGCCAAATTTTAAGTGTTCGTTAATGTTTGCGAACAAGACTCGTGTTTGTTTGTTAAGCTTTCGAGTTTATTCGTAGTGTTTGAACTCGGCTTGTTAAAATTTTTTATTATTTAAGCTCGTGTTCAGCTCATTTAGGCTCGATTAAACTCGTTCGAGTTCGTTTGTCTCACTTTTTTTTAAAAAATTTATATATAAATAAAAAGAAAATTCAAAACTATTTTATTCATATATTTTAAATTGATATTTTATTTATTTATAAATTATAATTATATATATAATATTTATAATAAATATATTATTTAAACGAACAGTTCGCAAAAATTTGCGAACAAAGTTCGGGCTCGTTCGTTAACCAAACGAGTCAGTTTATGATGTTCGGCTCGGCTTATTAACGTTCGCGAACAAGTTTTAACCGAACCAAATCGAGCCGAGTTCACGAACGATTTGATTCGTTTAACAGCTCTAGTGGCCACTAAAACCTAACAACATGCAAATTCAGTATAAAAGACAAAACTTTGAATCCATAATCTTATTATGCAAATTCACCTTTTTCTTTAATATGGGAATTAGTAGTCGCTACTCTACTCTGTCCGGACCTAATAACTTATAAACTAAGCCCAATTATCATGTGTGGTAGGCTTGAACCCATAACTTTACGGTCATGAATCCATCCCTGCACCACCAGACCTACAATATCATTACTTATTAGGCAGGGATGTGGGTCTTGGAGCAAGAAAATTTGGCCTTTATCCACACAAGAATGGACAGAAAAGGCAGGCAGACAAGGCGTCATGAAGTTCACGTGGTGGACAAGGAGGATTTGGATTTGGATTCGGATTTCCACCCTTTATTGTTCGGATTCCATTCCCACACTCCCTTCTCACTCTAAATCATTTTCAACATATGCACACTTTCATACACTACACTACAACATATGTATCTATCTATCTATCTATCTATGCATGTATCTATTACAGCACTACAGCAGCAATTCAGTAGGATTTCACCATTTACTTACTACATGCACATACACTCTTCTTTACTTTTTCACACTAATTCTAGCCATATCATTTTCAAAACCAATCAAGCAGCAGCAGCAGCAGCAGCCACATATTAACATTACATATAATGTCCTGTATCAACCAAGATATTTAACCAAGGACAACAAACATCCTGACCCCCTTCAATGCCCATCCCCCAAAAGATAAACACACAGATGTCAAGTTTCTGTGAGTACCTCCGATGTTGTCGCAATCATAATCATCGTCGTATATAGCACCAATTCATGCATCTTCCCTAAAATTCGACAGAATAGGTAAGGGGAGATTCATGAGCAAGATACAATTCCTTTTCCCTTTTCGAACAATATGACTGAATGACAAGAGTTACCTGTTACTGTCTTCTTCTGCTTGATTAGGCATGTTTTAGGTTCAAGTTCACGTACCAAAGATGGGTTCCCGACCACGTCTCCTCCTCCTTGCGTAGTCGCCTTCATGTAAGCAAACCAACTTGATGGCAAGATTTTCTGCATACAGTAAAAGAACACTCCAAAAGATTCAAGATTAATGATTGATATTACTAATGTAATCATTCATGCTGTAAGTATTGTCCAAAGCTACTCTTCTCTGATAAATCAATCAACGAAGATGAGATAAGAGTTCCTATAACAATAATGGAACAGGTCGATCCTGGAAACAAGCCATACTATAACAATTCGATCTGCCTGTCAAGTTGATCACTTTAGGTAAAGTAAAGTTCCAATCAACTGAAAGGAATGGAACTTTACTTTAGGTTCCTTCTGCAATGTAATATTTCCTAATTGGATGCTGATTGTTATCTGTATAATAAGTTTGGCCTGAATCCATTCTACGGGAGCTACTTATCGGGGACTAGTGTTACTGATAACAATGCTTACCATGTCAAGACTTGAATTTCAATCCATAAAGGCTAATCTTTACCAATTATATGAATGAAGAACATCTTCATGTCCAGTGCCTATCTAACAAGTGACAACACACAACTTATCTCTGCAGGCATCGACTTCCAACTACATTAGAAAACTAGTTGCTCAATCAACCAGTCGAAAACTGCGCACAAGGGTTTATTCTCCCTTAGGAGTTTGTCTCCGAGGGTAGCGTTTGTTGCAGGGAAGTCGGAGGCAGTGCTTTAAACTTCCCAGAATGTTGTTGGAAGCTTTTGATGGAGTGCTTCTCTCATCACCGCCTCTTGGTTGGTTGCTGAATTTATGATATGAGAAACACCCTCTTATGGTGTGAGTCAAATTATAGTCACATTGAGAGGTAACATCATTTTGGGTGTCCAGTAAATTCCTTGCAGATTCATCGTCATCACCGTTGTTTTGATGTTTATCCCACGAGTAAGCTGAGCTGAAAATTGTTGAAATAATACAATGAGTTACAGATCTAGAACTGTTTATAATCAATTTGTGGAAAGCTGTTAAAATGGATCATCAACAAAAAGGAGATGAGGAGCTATTGAACAGGTAAATCTGCATTTTTTTCTTACAAAGGCGATAGATGGCATCAAGGTCATGTGTAATATTAGTAAGGATGACTAAATTAATTTTGATAGCAGGGTATAAGTGCTAATAAACAGTACAAGATTAACTAGAGATGTGAGCTTGGATTACTTACTAGTCACATTCATCATCCGAGTCAAGCTCCTCAGGTCTTGATGGTACCCCGGCCAATTGATGGGCATATGATGCATGATGAATGAACTGCAGCTAAAGGAGCAAAAAAGACTTCAAAGTTGTCATTCAGAGCGTAAGTGTAACATAAAGATTCTAACATGGAGATGTTTCAAGTTCAACCAGAAGCAGCATTGTGTGAGAAAGGGCACCAACAAAGTGAAGACAATAGTATAAAATTGAATTGCAGTTGTAGTATGCCTTGTTGTAACCCTTGATGTTAAGAGACATTTACTTTTAGGTTTAAACCATCAAGGAGTACTTAATGTTCTAACTACTTCTCCAAGAACTATGACCAACCTGATCACCATCCCTAATGCTTATCATTCCTATGTAATCTCCATCATTCAGCAATTTCTGGCCTTCATGACAAAGACAAAACTGTCCCCATACATGCTCCCTGCATAAAATTCCATATTTTAAATTGTGTGAGATAGAGCTGCTCAAGACAATTTACTACAAGCCACAGTCAAAGTAGAGCACAATGAAATAGTCAGAGATGAATCTCTGAAGGCTTAAAATGATCGAATTCTACATCCTCCAAAACACATATGGCCTTGAATGCATTACCACCATCGAGGCATCACCTATGATTTAAACATTCATTTTCCAATGCATGATTGGCTACCAAATATAAATTATGATGCAATGTAATGCTGCAGGCCGTTGGCATGTTGAATAAAAATCAAACTAGTTCTAAAGGATTTAGGTCAAAGAAAAAAGAGTTCAATACAACGCTCGGAGTGACTGTGAAACTACACCTTAGAATTTATTTAAATAATGGAAGAACCAACGGTATCCATTTTATATATGTCCTCAAAACTATTCACCAGGGCAAACGACAATAAATGAATCCAAGAGAGCAACATAAGATTTCAATAAGAATCCAAATGTTTTAGAAGCTTATATGCATCACATTGAATTAAAAATCTCTGTGTTTAGCAAGCCATCCCTCTTTCATCCATCTCATCTCTCCTACAAAACACTATGGAAATATATACACGAATTCAGACTCACAGAATCGTATGTATGAAATTATAAATATGCAAAGCAGATTACTACCACGAAACACTTCGAGGTCCTTTCTTCGGCAAATGACGAAATGCTGCCTCCACAGCACGCTTCAGATCCCTAACTGTACCCGCCTGTTCTACCTCAATCCCTTAAAAACAGAGAAATTCATATTACATTAATCTTCCGACGGCTCAGACTCATAAAATCCGTAAAACCACAAAAACAAACACCTCGAAACAGTTAAAACACTCGCTAAATTCACTAGCCTAAATCACAAGCAACCTAAAACGCAGTAGCATGAGAGAGAAAGCAAAATCCATGCGCCAGTCTGCACATGAGGAATCAGGCATTTCATTTCATATCACTTCAAACAATTTCAACAAAAAAAAATAATAATCGAATACAAATATAGATGTACAAACACATACTGAAGGATGAACCATCCAATTTAAGAACTGTGAGCTGCAGCGGTTGCGGATACAGCTGCTCGTAAGAGAGGCTCGCCTTGGGGCCTTCAACGCATTTGGCTGGAGGAACTAAACATGACATGAATCCAATGGAAAGTCGAGGCTCATAGCAATCGTCGGCGCCGTTCTCCACCATCTTCGACTCAAGTTGCAGAAAATGAAACAATATATATATATATATAGAGAGAGAGAGAGAGAGAAAGAGAGAGAGAGAGAATCAGGAAATACGTATGGTCTTTGGCGAAGCAACAGAGCAACTGGTTTTTGCTTCTGTCGGGGACATTCCAGGAATCCTTTTTCGCGCTTTAATTTTGCATTTATATATAACAAAACGGATCTTGGGTCTTAAAACGGGTCCAAACCGGATATGGGTCCAAAATAAATTTGGGCCCTAATCTGGACCCGTATCCGATTGATTAAAATAAATCTTTGTAAGGCCCATGACTCAAAGGTTCCTCTTTAACCCTATCTTTATATTTCCATTTCCCTCTGTGTCTTCACTTCTGCGTGACCTCGTCGGCTGCCGCCGTTTCCTACACAGCTGCTGCTGCATTGTAAGTGTAAGTACAGTTTCTTCCTTCAATCTAATCTGTTGCGTCTAATAGAGAAGCAGATGTGAGAATCTCTGAAGCATTTATAGTAATTTTGAGTTTTTGATGTGTTTGGTTTCTGTCATTCCGATTCGTTTTTCTTGTTTCACGGCTAATAAAGAAAGCATTTGGGAGATTTTTTTAAAGGACTTATACTAATTTTGATTGTTTGCGTGTTTGCTTTCTGTTGGTTCTATTCGATCTTCTTGTTTCAAGCATTTAGAGAAATTTTGATCTTGATTTAGTTGTTATGTTATATCAATTCGATCTTGTTGCTTTATTGCTGAAAGAGAAGTTTTTTCACGTATTTGTGGCAAGTTTGATTGGCCTAGGGTTTATTTGAAAACTTGCCAATAATCAGCCTCTAAGGTTTTGTTCTTGATTCATCTCAGCAAGGAAGAGGAAGAGTTCCGCCGCTCTACATTCACCGGCAGCATGGTGAGTTGATTTATACGTATATTGTTCTCTGTGGATCTTTCAGTCTGAGAGTTCAATTATGAATTTCTTCCTTAGTTGTCTTTGTTTGTTCAAAGCTATGGCTGAATGGCCTATTCAGGGTGGAAGACAGATTCGAACAACCATTTTCATGCAAAATGCTAGAATCCATGAATATATCTCGCAAGCAAATTATTAAATTTACTGAAAGTTTGCCTCTCAGATTTAAAAAATAACAAGAAATATGGTAAAAGTCATTAAAATTTTCTTGTAGGGTGTTCTGGTGGTTTTGACATTAAAGTCATTAAAATCTTCATTAAAAGTTATGCTTGGGTGTTTTGTGCATATGGAAGAACAACTGTAGAATGGAAATTGTTGCTACTTAAGTTTTGTAATATCTGTTTCTAGAAAATGCTATATATATGCAGTCCACTAGATCTGTTGGAAATCAATTGATTGATTGAAAGCTATTTGTATGTTTGGTGATTATATGTTATTCCTCCCAGGTTTTGTTTATAATGTTGCTCTTTTTTCTCCCTTTATATATAATATGGTATAGGCTCGAGGATTGAAGAAACACTTGAAGAGGCTCAATGCCCCAAAGCATTGGATGTTGGACAAGCTTGGTGGTGCTTTTGTAAGTAAATTTCCATGATGTTATATATATATATATATATATTTGAAATTTATATTATTTGTATGTGTGTCACTTGGGGTTTATCAATCTCCACCTTAATGGCATTTTATTTATTAAAAGGCACCTTATAATGCTGAAATGTCCAATAAAAATGTTTGCAGGCGCCCAAACCATCATCTGGACCCCATAAGTCCAGGGAGTGCTTGCCTCTGATTCTTATTCTGCGAAACAGGCTGAAATATGCTCTGGATTACCGTGAATCCATTGCTATTTTGATGCAAAGACATGTTCTGGTTGATTCAAAAGTTCGGACAGATAAGACGTACCCTGCTGGCTTTATGGGTATGGTCTCTACCTAGTATTTGGTTTATTTGAATCAATATTTTCAATTGTTATTCCATATTTATAAAGTTAAAACTATAGTATTATCCATACTATTAAGAAATTTACTGAGGGAAACTCTCCCACTGTCTTTTATCTATAAATATTGACATGTCTTTGTTATGCTATTTTCGTCATGAGTTGCAGCATATGGAAATTGATGAATAGTTAATTTGATGCTTTTTTTCTGAATCTGTTGCTAAGATTTAATGATGTTATTGTTTACCTTATTCCCAGATGTTATATCTATTCCTAAGACGAACGAGAATTTCCGCCTTCTGTATGACACCAAGGGTCGATTCCGCCTGCACTCCATCAGGGATGAGGAGGCCAAGGTTTCTTATTCTCTCTGTATTTATCTTTCTTTTCTTTTGCGAAGTTATCAGATGCCAAAAGATTTACTCTCCACTTTTTTCTGTTAGTTACGTGCCCTTTACATCAAATTTTAAAATAATTTTTGTTGTGAAAGAATTGCCTTTCTTATTCTGTTCTTAATTTTGTCTCCCTCTTAAAATTGATCTGGTTTGGCTGTTGTGCAGTTCAAGCTATGCAAAGTCCGCTCGGTTCAATTCGGGAGTAAAGGGATCCCATATCTGAACACATACGATGGAAGGACAATCCGCTACCCTGATCCACTAATCAAGGCCAACGACACCATCAAACTTGATCTGGAGAGCAACAAGATTGTCGACTTCATCAAGTTCGATGTGGGGAATGTTGTCATGGTCACCGGTGGTAGGAACAGGGGCCGTGTTGGAATAATCAAGAGCCGTGAGAAGCACAAGGGGAGCTTCGAGACCATCCACATTCAGGATAATGTTGGACATGAATTCGCAACCCGACTGGGAAATGTCTTCACCATTGGCAAGGGCACGAAGCCGTGGGTGTCTCTTCCAAAGGGCAAAGGCATTAAGCTCTCCATCATCGAGGAAGCCAAGAAGAGACTCTCTACTCAAGCTGCCGCTGCTTAGATGGAGCTTTTGGTAAGCAAGCATATTTTCTATTTCAGCATATCCTTTCTTGAGAATTTGCTCCAGTTCTGACGTTATGACTTTTTACAGCACTTGGTTGAGTTTCATGTTGTGGATGATTTAAATTACAAAAACATGGAATTATCTTAATGTTTACTGTTTTGATAGTTTTTTTGGATTATCAATATTTTTAATTATTATTATTATTATTATTATTTATAGATTAAATTGTACAAAATTCATGGGATTTCACAAAACTGCCGACAAACTCCTTTGTGGTTTCACAGGTCTTTGTTTAAGCTCAAATATATTTATTTTTCTTATAATAAGTTTAAAAAAATAAAAATAGATTCTTAAAATTTAAGAAAAATAACTATTTTAAAATATGTTTATTATTTTTTGAAATTAAATATAAATAAATAAATATATTTGTAATTTTAGACTTATAGATTTTAAAAATAGATGTGCTGCTGGATCAGTAGCCTAACTTGGTGTTAATTTTTTAGTGGTAAATATAGGGATTTTGCATCTAATAATGTTTTTTTCTATACAATTTTATATGAATATTATGAATGAAAATATCATTATGTGTAGGATAATTATGTCATTTTTTGGTTAATATTAACTTTTTTCCATTTATAATTTTATTATACTACTTTTAAAAGATAACAATTAATTTGTTATTATTTTTTATTTATTTTATTATTAACTTTTAATAAATATTTTATATTACTCTATTTTATTTTTTACCTGCTCAATTATTTCAAACAATTTCAAGAAACATGTGCACTTTATTTTCTTAAGTTTCTTAAAAATAAGCTCATATTAAGACATTCATTTTCTTTAGTAGAAAGTACTATATGGTGATTAAAAACTGACGGTGTGATTTGTTCGATTTGAAATTATATTTTTAGATTTGATTTAAATAGTATTGTTTGAAAAAAAAAAAAACAATGAGTTTGTTTTGCTCTAAGAATTTTTTTTTCTGAAACGTGATTTTTAATATATAATTTATTTTTTCAGAAAAGTTTGATTTTTTATATTTATATAAAAAAATTCAAATCAAAATATTAAACAATCCAACTCATATTTTTATTAAAAATTATAAAAATGTGTTAAAAAAAAAGCAAACATTATATTCATCTATCATATTTATCAATTATGGAAAAATTGTGATTGTTTTGTAAAATTGTTTGAAATAATATTTTTTTTTTATGTGAAGCATCAAGAATTATAAATAACATAAAAATAATAAATACTATAAATTTTTTGAGAAATTTATACTATCTATGTTTTATAAAAAAAAAAGTACCATAGGTTTATTTCGACAAAAATATATAAAGAAAAATTAGCAAAAAATATTTTTGAAGGGAAATATTTTGAAAAGAATTGTACGGAAAGTGCGTTTAGATTTATTTTTCTAAAAAAAATATGGTTATAATTTATTTTTATTAATTTAATTTATTTTTTTTTTCTGTTATCTAATTGTTTATTAACTTTCAATTAATACAATATTTTTTTTATTAAAAATATATATATTGTAAGATATAAAATACTCTAGCACAAAAAAATTAAATAAAGAAATAGTATTATTTATATTTTTATTTTAATACTCTCCATCTAGTTACATATTGACGTTTTTTTTTTTTTTATATAAAAAATGACTTTTTTTTTTAATAAATATAAATCAATTGAATTGAATTCTAATATTTTATACATGGGATTCATTCAAAAGTTACTTATTTTTACTTCTTCAATAAAAAAATATATTTATCTATATTTAAAATAATTTTTTTTATATAGAATTAGTTTTGAGTTAGTTATAAATAAATAAATATTTTTTTATTTATTTGTATTATATAAAATTTTATTTTTTATAAAATGATATTTGTATATATTTTAGTAAAATATAATGGTAAAAATATTTAAAATAGCAATAACGTTATTCATAAAAAAAATAAAAAATAAATAAAATAATAATATCATGTCTAAAGACTATTTAATTAAATAAAAAATAATTAAAATAATATTATATTATAAATATTACATAGTAATCCATATTTTACTTTCTCCATTTTTAATATGGATTGTCATTTTATTATTTTTACGGTTTCAAATTGTCTTATTATAATAAATAATAAATATATTCTCCATGTCACTAGAAATCTATCTTCATATTTTAATTTACACAAATATTATTAATATTTACATAAATTAAAATATCTACTTATTAATACATAATTAACAAAAAAACCAAATTAAACTTAAAATTAAATTCTCCATTTTAAATCGGTTAAACACTTCATTCGAAAATTGTGCTTTTACAACTACCAAAAATTGGGAGGAAATCAAATTTAAAATCGATCTCCAAAATTTAAAACACAATTAATCAAACGGAGATAAGAGAATGCTGTAAATAATTGCTCACCGGAAATTTTTGAAAAGTCGAAATAATAGATTGTTCCGAATATTCTCAAATCGATATAGTAGACGAGAATGAAGAAAATCATTGTTGTATTTTTGTATTACAATAATAAAAAAGAAGAGAGAGAGTAAAAGGTGGTATGTAGCCAGTTGTCACCTATGTTTCTCACCATTCTTTCCTCACTTCACCATGCAATTTTCCCCTTAAAATCCTGTCAACTTTTTGCTCTGTTTCAACAAACCCACAAATCTAATTTTACATCAATACAAAATCTAGATTTACCTATTCTATTCTAAACCACCGGTTCAAACCTCCGATTTTTCCGTTTTTGAATCAGCATTTATGGTTCAAACCGAAATCAATGGTTCGGTTCGCACCAGTCAAGCAGTCACTAGGGCGCGGTGGAGTTGCGGAGCAGGGTAGATGATGAAGAAGAAGGACGACCGCGACGAAAGAAGAAGGGAGAAAGAAAATTTGGGGAATAAAAAGATACAACAATAAGGAGGAAAGAAGGAAGAAATAAAAATTGAGGAAGAAGAAGAAACATAAACGAGAAGAAAAGAGGAAAGAAAAAATTAGGAAAGAAAAAGATACATGAATGCCGAAAAATAGGAAAAAGAAAAATATGGAAGAAATAAATTAGAGAAGAATAAGATACAAGGAGGAAATAAGGAAAAGAAAAAAATGAAAGAAAAAAAAAAGATAGAGGAAGAAAGAAAGAAGAAAAAAAAATAAAAATAAAAATTGAAAAAGAAGAAGATACAAGTGTTGGACTGGGTCAACTCAACAATATTGTCCGTATTGTCCGCTTTGGGTCGAGTTTCGTACGGATTTGTTTTTTAATATTCTCCAAAATGAGAGTTCACTTGGGACTTATAAGGTATAAAATTTTCTTCACAGTTTCTGATGTGGGACTTGGATTTGCACCCCAACGACATGAAGTAAAACGAAGAAGAAAAAATACATAACACAAACATGGTGCAACTGTGGATTGTGGAATAAATTAAGTTTAAAATTGCATATTATATAATAATATATCTATAAATTAAGCTATTAATTATTATAAAAATAGAATATATATATATATAAAAGAGGGAAGAAAAGATGGAATTGAAGCATGGAGAGGAGTCTAATGGAGAAGAAAGTAGATATAGAAAAAAAGAAATTGATTAAAAATTATACAAATAAGGGCATAATACTCAATTAACATAAAATTTAACATCTGTTAATGATGTTAATGAAATACAGATGGGTCGACGAGTGTGCAATATTTTAGAAACAACTAGTAGATTTTATGAAAATTTTGAATGATGAAGTTTTTCAGCAAATTCAAAAAATCACAATAAATTTTTTTGCTATTTTGCCCAAATATTATTCAAATATATAATACTCTTTCCGTTCAGAGTCAAATAACTCATTTGATTAGAGACACTACATTTTAGTGATTAGCAATTTATTAATAATTGTACTATTCTTTTATATGAGTAAATTTTTTGATATTTTAAATATTTTTAACATTATATTTTAATAATATATATATACAATATAAATATTATTTTTATAGATAATAATATTTATTTATTTATAATTAAATTTACTAATTTTATAAAATACAAAGAATTTTAAATATAAAAAAAATACTTTTTTCGTCTTTTATCAAATTATTCATTTATCCATTTTCATTCGTCCTATAACAAATTATGTATTTTTTTTAGTAACTGTATTAACTACCTAATACTACGTCCGTCCCAAAACAATAGTCTTATTTTGTTATTTTTGTCTCTCCAAAAAAACAATAGTCTTATTTCCATTTTTGATAACTAACTCTCCATATTTTTACAAAACTATCTCAATTTTTTTACAATAATTACATAAAGTAAGGCTGTTTTAATTTTTTTAAAAACACTTTTACACCTCCATATTGTTTTTGAGACGAATAGAGTATTACAAATACTCTTACTTTTATATTATATAATATTAAAAAAATTATTTTAGTAATTTATATTTATTCTTACTATATATATATATCAATATAATACTAATGTACATAAAATTTTGTGCAAAAAGTAAATAAATATCTAGTTAAAGACTATGGAGTATTTGTTTCTTTATGAAATATAAAAAATAGAAATTTTTTAAGTAAATTAGATTAAAATTTTAATTATATTAATTTATATCTGTTAAATTTATTTTATATGAATAAATTTATTAAAAATAAAAAAAAAATTATTTGCTGCGGAATTGAGTATAAATTAAATTTTCGCAAATCAAATCCAAAAAACACGTCTTATATCCCACATTTTATGCTCATATTGTGATTTTTTTACATCTCTGTTTAATTTTTTTGTATTATTTTTTAAATCAAATAATTTGATTAAATTTTTAAATCTCTTATCTTAGGGTATGTTTCTCTTGCTTAAGTTTGGACAAAATTACTGTACAAAGGCTGTTTGGTTTGGAGAACACTGACTAATGCGTTGTTTTTTTAAATTTTTTTTAATTATAATTATAAGGTCTTCAATCCATTCATTCATACAGTGAGTTGTACAAAAAATGAGGGGAGGGGCTCCAACTTACCCCCAAATCCCCCCCTCTATTTTTGCAAATATCCACAGTGTTACTTCAAAAATGGAATAATACTGTTACTCCACTCCATTTATTGAGTAGAGTTTTTGTAGTATTTTTTATATTTTTGGTATTTTTTTGGGTGTATTATGTAATTTTAATTTTTTTAGTAGATGATATATAATTTTATATTTTAAAAAGTTGTATGTAATTTTTTTTTGAAAAATAATGTATAATTTTATTTTTGAAAAGTGATATAATTTTAATTTTTGGAAAGTAATATATAATTTTATTTTTTAAATTGATATATAATTTTGCTGTTTGAAAAGTGATATGTAATTGTATTTTTTTGTAATAAATTGTTATGAAATAATAATATTACGTTATCTTTATTTAATTATTATATCATATTTGTCTTGATAGCATTTAATTATTTATTTAAAATTATTTTATTTGTAATAGTTATTAATTATAAATGTTAATTTTTATATATATAATTTTTTTAAAAAGTATAAATTATATGTGTATGGATCTGATGTAAAAATAAATTAAAGTTGTGGTGTAATTTATAAATATGAAAAGTTATATAAAATAATATAAAAAATGAATATATATGGAATATAGTTTATGGTTGAAGTAAAATTAGTGTAGATCAAGTTTTTTTTTTTTACTGTAGCAACTGTAAAAACGAAGTGGAAGTTGGAGATAGCTTAAAAAAATTATAAATAATTATAATTGAATAAAATATATATAGATATAAAATAAATTTATAATCAAATTATACAAATTAATACACATTTATGCCTATATTCAAACTAATTTCAAAATTCAAATAAAAACCAAATTGAAATCCAAATGCAAAACCCCCTGAAACGTACCTACAAAACCCCCTAAAACCACACCCTTTGGTACCTAGTAGTGTTAATTTTATTTAGACTTTTAAATTACTTTAATATTAACTTGTATATTTAAAATAGAAATAATAATAACTGAAATAAAGACGGAAAATTACGATAGCGCTAACAAGATGCTGTGCCTGTGCGGTTCACTTCCCTGTATTTCTCCTCGCCTTATCCTCCCCGCCGTGGCGCCGCCGTGGAATGGCCGCAGCATCGATCGGATTCTGCGATTGAGTCACGAGAAGAGGACTAGCCGGAGAGGAATTTCGGTGGTGACGCGGGCAGGACCCAGCGCTACCAGCTACGCACTTGTCTTTTTCCTGCCACTCTCTCTTCTTGCGGCTACTATTTTCATTTCGGTGAGAGTTGCGGACAAGCTCGACGAAAAGTTCTTCGAAGAGGTGATTACAGAAATTTCTCTGTTTGCTCGTCGTGTTCAATTTTGTGCGGGAAATGCCTTTCCGTCTTGCGCGAATTTTAGGATCGTCTTCTGATTGTTTGATGCGAAAATTTCTGGAGTGAATAAGTGATTTATGTCGCTTTCTTCAATTCTATGGATGCTTATGTTACATTTTCTGCGTTTTGATGTACTATGCCATTGTGTGCTCTTTTCTTTGCAAAAGGCAGTTTTGCTTTATTCGTTGGTTTAAAGTGAATTCGGTATGGTGAGTTTATGATAATTAGGGTAGGTTAAGCACTATATTTACCAAATCCTATGTTGTTTTTTAGGATAAATGCTCATTTGATAAACTGTCAATGGATAATCTCTTTCAAAACAGTACTAATATAATAGGTTGCAACTCATATCTGTGGAAGGGCGTGATCATGTCCTGCTAAAATTATTCTGTAATTTAGGGAACACAAAGAGATCAAGTGGGAGAACAGTGTGCTGATTATCCTTTGATTGGATGATATCTATATATCTGTGGATCAGTCAATTAGAATTGGCTAACCTCTCGAAGCATTACTATTGACTTGATGAGAAAAGACAAATAGGTTAAGCATTTGGCTGTGATTCCCAACATTTTCAACAACCCTCTGCTTTCTTGGAGCATTTGGGGATCCTCGAGTATTATATCCTTTTAGTGCATTCAAAGATTCTTTCTTGAGACAAAAGGGTACAAATAATTGTAACATTTTATGCTTTTTTGGGGGCTGAAATGATATCTTGGGAATGAGACATAATGGCACCACAGAATGATGTTTTTTCTTTCTTACTTTTACACTACCTGGCCTTTACTTTCGATCAAGCTTCTTATTCATGTGTTGCCGTAGATTGATGCATGTTTATACTGTTGCTGTTGAGTTGAAGTCATTGTCTGAACCCTCTCTTGCGCTCGTTTTTGTTAGAACTTAGTTTTAATAGGTTATTATCTCATGGCAGTTTGCAGGTTGTTTATTCAGTGCTTGTAGATGCATAATAGTGTTATTTTAAAATGTAAGATGTTTAAGATCAAGATAAGATAGCTGTGCAAGTAGATGGACTTTTTGGTAATATAGCCATAACAATAAGATACTCGAAGTGTTCCAATAAAAAAAAAAAGATACTCGAAGTGTTTGATTGAGTTGAGGTAGCTAAATGTAACTGGTAGGAAATTATAAGAATTTGTGGTAATTTTAGAATCTACATGTGAGAAAGCCGGATGGGATCCTTAGTCCCTACTTCCCCAATATACACAACACACAAATACATATATACGCATATTATCTGCATGCATCTATTTTTCGAGTGTTGGGCTGGAATTTTTGTGGCTGAGGATCTCATCTCTGAAGAAACACATTTAAAGTTATGAGCAAGAAGAGAGCATGTGATAAACTAAGGTTAAATTTAGCAAAAAATGATTAATCGGATGCTTTACATGCTCATCAGTAGGCATTATTCTTCTACAACCAGTAGCTTATCTTTTTCAGTTAGTACGAAACAAATTTACCAGACTTATAGGCAACATTGTTCCGAATAACTTATAATCTTACCTTATTCAAATGTTTATTATTCGAATCTTCACAAAAAAATGTGAAAATAAGCACGTATAGAATCTATGAAATGCTCGAAGAATACCATGATGGTTTTGTTTTTTTTCTTTTTTGGTTCACATGTATTGAAAGAAAATCCACGTGACAAGTATGTTGTATATGATCCAGCTAGCTATGAATGAAGCTATAAAAGAAGGCGAGGAGAATGAGGATGGTGGTGGCAACGACGAAGACAACATTTCTTTGGAGCAAGAACAAACAAAAACACGAACACGTAATCGCCCTAAACGTGAAGTTGAGCCATCTTCGAAGTAATGGAGGACCGGAGTTATCAGCTTTGGTGTCCCGGCAACTCATAAAAGAGAGCAGGTAAATGATCAATGATTTTGTTGCAGGAAGTGTCTTTTTCCCTTGTTACAGCTTTCACCTTAATTTCTTAAGAAATGCATGTATGTATAAACGTTGATAAAAAATAAAGAAAATTTGATGACACTGAAAAGCAAACACATCCTTGGTTGTCTTCTTTTAGATTTATTTTTTCCTTTTAAATGGTTTTGTGAAAAAAAAAAAAATGAATTTTTAAAAGAAAATAGTGATAATTGCATGACGATGTTGATTATTTTTCATCCGTTAGATTACATTTTAATCCAATGGTTAATATTAAACTAAATAAGTAAATTTCTTTCTATCTTTTTCTCTCTGAATTTGTCGCCTCCGAACTTGTTATCATCCATAGCATATACTTTAATTAGTATTTAGTTTCTTCACCTATTCAAGATCTTTTATTAGTATTTATATCCATAGTTTTGGTTTTATTTGTATTTAATTTGAATTTCACTTTGAGTTAGAAACTTTGCAATCGGGTGTGTTTACTTGAGAAGTTTTAGTTTATTATGTGTTATAAATATGCATTGATGTAATATTTTGAATACAAAATTAAATTTTAGTGTAATAAAATAAATAAAATTTGGGTGTTTGATTCGATATTTTTGAGAAAAAATAAAGTTTGGAACGGTAAGATCAGAAGTAAAATTTTTTACTAGTAAACAGAGTGGAGTTGACAGCAAGACAGGGAGTGGAGTAGTTTTAGAAGTATAATTTTTATCTTTGGGGTTTTTTTTTTTTTTTTTTTTTTTTGAAATTTTGAAGTGTATTTAAATATATATATATTATCATCAAACATTATTTTATTTGCAGAGGTTACTTTTGTGCTCTAATGTATCATACCAAAAAAGAAATAATTATGTTGAATTTTCATAAATGTATTATGATTGAATAATTAGAGTATAAAATATATATTCGGTCATTTGCATAAATTATTTCTGTTCTTTGATTCAGAGGCAAAAAATAAGAATAAAAATAAAAATAATTATTATGTTGGATTTTTTAATAAAAGCATTGTGATTGGATAATAAAAACATATATTATATACCATAAAATACCATTTTATTATTGGTAGTTCTCTAGCGAATTAGAATTTGTGTTCTTGATCCATTTATTGAAATTTTTCTGAAATATATATTCAGAATTAATTATGATTTTCTTTTCTATTTGCATCTTAACAGACTGGGAAAAACAATCATATAATGACAACAACATTTAAAAATAATAATAATAAATAAATAAATAGATAAAAATTGAAACTTTTGGCCTATGCCTATTTTGGGAGTTAATTGTATTTAATTACGTATTAGTATATATCTACATACGTAGGTGCATATATATCTTCTTCTTGATCATTTTAATTATTTCCAAGAATTTAATAAATGCTATGTTGTCATCCTTGGTTCTCTATATCTCGGCAATGGGTCGATTCGTGTCGTATTGATTATTTTAAACGGGTTGAATTACTCAACCTTAACCCGATTCGTTTATTATTGTGTCGGGTTCGGGTTGATTCGTGTTGACCCGTATATATAGTTAAGTATAATTTATTGATTCAAATTAAATAATTTTTTGTTTTGTCGTTGTGTTACGTTAGTTTTTATTTGTTTGAGCGTAAATTAGGTTGAATTATTTAAAATTGAACTTAGATTAAATTAATTTATGAAAAAATTATTAAATTATGATTATTTTATATATATAATAAATATATTAATCAATATTAATATATTATAATCGGGTTGTCGTGTCGGATTCGAATTGAGAGTCTCAACCCTAACCCGACCCGCTTATTATCGTGGCGGGTTCGTGTCAACCCGTATACATAATTAGGTTGAAATCTTTGACTCAAATCCAATTATTTCGTGTCGGGTTGTCGTGTCGGGTCAGTTTTTGCCAACTCTATCTATAATGGGGTATCCGTGGGATGCACAGTTTTTTTATATATATTTTTTTTAGTTGTTAATTTTTTTTATATTTTTCTCTTCTACTTTTTTGTTAAATTATCTTATTATTAAATTTATCGAAAAAAATTATACTTAACTTTTCTTTTTTACAATAATTATCACGGTTAATACATATTATTCTTTTTAAACACTAACTTAATTCATATATATATATAATAAGATATACTTAATTATGTTTTATATTTTCCTCAAATTTTCAAAAAACAAAATTAATTTTGTAATGTTTTTGTGGCCCCAATGAAAATAGTAGTGATTAGACAGAATATATTTTATAAATATCATAATATAATTATTATTTTATTTTATTTTCCTTCAATCTAATATATAAAAAAATTGTTTAATAAATATCATATTTAATAATTATTTTTATAAAAATTTTAACAATTATTTTTACAATTTATTAATATTATTTATAGATTTAATTTATAATATATTAATACATTTTTCTTAGTTAATAATTAAAATTTTAGTAACATATATATGATAATAAAACTAATAATAGATAATAATAAATAATAGTATAAGATATATTTATATAATTTTATTTTTAAGTTTATATTGTTTAATTAAATTATTATATCATAATTTAATTTAATTTAATTATACTATAAATTAAAAAAGTGTGCAAATAATATAAATAATATTTATGTGAAATTATTATTATTATTTTTGAATAAAAATATATATTTATATATTGTTTAAATATATATCATATTTTTTAATATTATGAAAAAAAATGTATAAAAAAGTGATGAACGAACATAAATTAAATTATAAATTATGTTTATTAAAAATATTATCAAAAAATAGTAAGTCTGTTCATTCAACATTTTTCAATGAAATAATTTTTCATAAATATTACTTTATATGTCCCACTTAATTTGTCTCATATTTTTATTTAGTTCCTCCCACTAATTTATCAGTTCTTTTTTAAAATATAATTATATACTTTAATCACATTTTAAAATTCATAATTTTTTAATTTTTTATTTTAATTAAAATATTTAGTCATCGTAATCTAAATTTATAATTATTTTTATTAAATCATAATGATTTTCACTAATATACTTCTTAATTATTTACTAATTATACAATACCTAAAACTTCGTGCCTTATAATTTAGCTTGGACGGAGGAAGTATTAAAAAAATATAAATATACACACATATTAAATCAATATACTATCATTAAATAGGACAATTATGTCTGTTAAGTATGATTATGACTAATTAAATAAAATAATTTCATTAACTAATATTAATTATGATATATTTAGTAACACTTAATACATATTTATTTATTAAAAAAAATCAAAAAAATGAGAAAAACTATTTGGTGGAGTGGACTCCGCAGCAATCTCTTATATATATATATATATTATATTTGTACACCGCCTATCTATCCATTTATTTTTTGCACGTAGATTTTAGTATATTAGTATTATATTGATATGTGATACAATTGATATAAATAAAGACCATTATATTCCTTAACATTTATAGTATTAAATTGTGTTATTTGATGACATTTGTGTAATATTATATAAAGGTGGAGTAATTTTATATTTTAGTGGAAAATACATTTACTGAAAAAAAAAAAATGAATACATTTGCGATGAACAGACTAAAATGAAAAAAAATGTATAAATTGACGGTGGATAGATGGCGTAATAAAATCAAATTATAACTTACAATTATAAGAGATTTAAGTCACATTCTTTTAACTGCAATCTAAAAGAATATATCTTGAGACAAAAATTAAAATATATAAACATCAAACCGAAATCTAAAAAATACATATATGAAAAGGAAAAAAAAATAAACCATATTCATGAAAATAAATCAAATTTCTTAATACCATTGAGACATCTATTTTTTTCACAAACTTTAAATATACAAAATAAAAATAAAAATAAAAAAATTACATTAAATATCATCCTAAATAAAACCACAAATTGTGTCTAACATAAATTGCATTATTATAGCGTAACTTCCACCCTTTAATCCAAAATTATATATAAAAAAATTAATATTTAATTTAAACAAAATAACTACTATTGTACTCCCTCTGTCCAATGTAATATGGATGTATTACTGTAGACACGGGGAATTTCGGTAAAGTATAATTAGTAAGTAATTAAGAAGTGTATTAGTAAAAATAATTATTATTTAGTAAAAATAATTATAGATTAAGATTAAGATAAGTAAATAGTTTAATTAAAATTTAAAAAAATTATAAAATTTAAAATTTAAAATGCGATTAAAGTGTATAATTATATTTCAAAAAATACAAAGGACAAGTTATGTGGGACAGACGAAAATAGAAAATTTGAACAAATTATATGGGACGGAGGGAGTACTATTTAAACCTCAAATATATTTGTTACCCATAATTTTTTTAAATAAGACAATTGTGCCCGCTAATTATGATTATAACTAATTAAATAAAATAATTTCATTAATTATATTAATTATAATATATTTAATAGCACTTAATACATATTTATTTTATCAAAAAATATAAAAAAATTGATGAAGTAAATCCTACATCGATCTCTTTTATATATATATATAGATAGATTATACCTTTAAATAATAATATAATCCATAAGAGCATCGGTTACGATCGCCTCTCTTATTACCTTTTGAATTTTTAATTTTTTTTTTTTTTTTTTTCAGTTTTTAGTATAATAACTAGTTATCTTTCTAGTTATCTCTACAATTATTTATATTTATTATCTTTTTTAAAAAACCAGCTACTTTCAACAAAAACTTACAGAAAATAATACTTAATCCGTCTCAATACAATAGTTTTGTTTATTATTTTTGTCCGTCTAAAAACAATAGTCTTATTTCCATAGATAACTATATCACTATATAACTACCCTTACTCTTTCATTATTATTAAACAATTGTCACTACTTTTTACACTCGTACACTCACAATGGCAAAAATGTCTTTTACCTATACTTTTTATTCGTTGTCAATATAATATCAATATTATTTAAATCTCGTACCCAACACAATCAAGACTATAATTCCGGAACGGAGAGAATAATTAAATATTATTCAAAACATTTTAAAATATTAAATTTAACAAAAATTATGTAATATATATTTTGATTTATTCAAATAATTTCAAATTTTAAAATAGTAAATTATATGTTTCAATATATTAAAATTTATATAAATTAAAATTAAAAATTTTAATATAATATTATATATAATTATTAGTATTTCCGTCTCACATACTGTGTTTGCTACAATATAGACACGATATTTTAGAAGAAGTGTAATTAGTAGATAATTAAGAATGTATCAGTGAAAATAATTATTCGATAATATAAATAATTATAAATTAAGATAAAGATAACTAATTAGTTTAATTAAAATTTAAAAAAATAAAATTAAAAAGTTTAAAATAAGATTAAAGTGTGTAATTTTTTTTTAAAAAAAAGTGACATGCTACATGGAACGGACAGAAATGACAACGTGGACATGATATGTGAGACGGAGGGAGTATTAGATAATAAAAATATATAGAAATATATAAATAAATAAATAATTTTTATATAGTATGTAATAAAAATATATAGAATTAAATAAATTAGTGGGAATTCTATAAAATAATAAAAATAATGTGTCAGAATGTGGTTATTGTAACCAATGATAAAAAATTAATTTAAATATTGAGTCGAATACAAAAGAGATAAAAGAAAAAGAAATAATAAATAAATAATAACAAAGTTAAGGTAACGTCTCTAACGGCGAAGCTAATCCAATACTACAAAAATGAGAATAATAATAGTTAGTATATTAGAAAACAGCTTGATGGCTTCCTATTTTTAAGCCACCACATCAACGCACCGTTTCTTCTCCGATGACTCATTTCTCTCTCCTCTCTCTCCCTCTCTCTCTCTCTCTTTCTTCTTTCAATAAATATTGAGAAAGTTGTCTGAAATTATTCGTAATTCCTTTTTTTACCGTCAAAAAATCGGAATTAAGTAAACTGTACTGCTTTGCGACTCTGCTTTTACCTTTGCTTCTGTTCATCTTTATTTTTGTCGATTGGGCGATTTGCTTTGTGCGTTTCACAAATTCGTAAACTACCAACTGCTAGGCTCGTTGTTGTTTTTTATTTATGTTTCTAGTTCGAGGGTTTGAATTTCGTTGATGAATACTGATAGAATAAGCTCGGTTTATCGGAAATGGGGTAGTGAAGTGAAGGAATTTCCTTCGATGATTTGGATGAGATACTTTGGGTCTTTTTTTTGTTTTTAATTTTTTGCATCTTATGTGAATTAGAATTTTTCGATAATTCATATGATTTATATATATGATTCTGTAATTCCTTAGTTTGGTGTATTTCTCGATTACTCCATTAATGGCTGCCTTTGTTTCGTAATTCCGGTAGGAAAATGGCTGCTACTCCTGTTGATGATCCTCCGTCCTCTTTATTTGAATTTGTGATTATCGACGGAGAGGTTATGGAAAACAGCACTTCCGCCGCATCATCGAAGCAGCCGACGCCGTGGATTGATCCGGCAGCCATTAGGCTCCGCCACAGGATCGGGAGGGGTCCTTTCGGCGATGTTTGGTTGGCTACTCATCGTCGCGCCTCCGAAGACTATGAGGAGTGTCATGAAGTTGCCGTCAAGGTTTTGAATCCGGTTAAGGAAGACAGCGTTAGGGATGCTATTAATAGGCTGGATACGGTGCTTTCGAAATGCCAAGGATTGGAAACAGTTTGTTGGATCTATGGACTTTCGATCATAAGCAAGAGAGTGAGTTCGATTTCGCCATTGTTGCTGTTGAGAAGTTAGTTCTTTGTTTGTTCGTCTGAAGTGGTTTTGTGGTGCTGTTTTTGTGTTTTCAGATATGCATTGTTATGAAGTTCTACGAGGGTTCGATTGGAGACAAAATGGCTCGATTCGAGACCGGGAAGCTGTCGCTTAGTGATGTTCTGAGGTGAATTTGGTTAATCTGTTCAAAAGCTCGATCATGTTTCATAGCTTTGTAATGAGATTCGAATTTACGATTCTTTAAGATGTTTTATGACATTCATTTGATGCATTGCCATGATTTAGTTCTGATGTTTGAGGTGAATTTGATTGCTCTATTCAAAATCGCGGTTATATTTTGTAGCTTTGTAATGAGATTACGAGTTTTCGATTCTTTAGATGTTAGTAAACTATTGTTTTACCACATTCAGTTGATGCATTCCCATGTTTAGTTCTTCTGCTGGCTTAATTGTTCCTTGGAGTGATGTTTGAGGTGAATTTGATTGCTCTATTCAAAAGCGTGGTTATGTTTTATAGCTTTGTAATGGGATTAAGAGTTTATGACTCTTTAAGATGCTCGTAAAATTGTTCCTCCGATTGATATTTGAGGTGATTTTGATTGCTCTATTCAAACAAAAATGGGGTTATGTTTTATATCATTGTAATGAGATTGCGAATTTACAACTCGTCAAGATGTTCGTAAATGGGCTTAATTGTTCCTCGGTGTGTGATGTTTGAGGTGAATTTGATTGCTTTATTCACAAGCGCGGTTATGTCTTATATCTTTGTAATGAGATTACGAATCTACGACTCTTTAAGATGTTCGTAAGCAATTGTTTTGTGACATCTATTTGATGCATTACTATGATTTAGTTCTCCTGTGGGCTTATTGTTTCGCAAATTTGATTACACTTTAAGAGCGTATGGCTTTGTAATAATTTTACGTTTCTTTAAAATGTTCTTATACTGAGTCGTATATGGCATCCATTGAATGCGTTCTTCGTGCGTGATTGTGTAATTTACTTGCTATTTGATCGTTATGGACAGGTACGGGGCGGATATGGCGCAAGGGATAATGGATCTGCATTCGAAAGGAATTCTTGTCCTCAACCTTAAACCTTATAACATTCTTCTGAATAGAAATGATCGAGCACTTGTCGGGGATGTCGGTGTCCCTTACGTGCTGTTAGGGATGTCGTTGCCGAGTTCCGACATGGTCCGGCGGCTCGGTACTCCTAATTATATGGCTCCCGAACAATGGCAGCCAGAAGTGAGAGGCCCTATATCGGTTGAGACTGATTCGTGGGGATTTGGTTGCTGCATTGTTGAAATGCTAACAGGAACACAGCCTTGGAGCGGCAAATCAATCGGAGAAGTGTACACATTAGTTGTAGATAAGCAAGAAAAACCGCAGATTCCCGACGGGCTCCCTCCGGACGTTGAGAATGTTATTGCCGGCTGTTTCGAGTATGATTTCCGAAGTCGCCCTCTTATGGCGGACATTTTATGCGCTTTCAAGAGGTATAAAGAATGAATGCTCGGTTTTCTTATCAAAGTTTTGTTTTTTGCATTTGCGTTTTATACCGTTTTTACCGAATTCGCAGCTCGCAAACCGCCGTCCACCCTCTTGGAAGTAAAATGATCCGGGAAAAGCCGGGTGGGATTGGTTACAACGAGTGGTTCCTTGCGAAGGATCATCTCCAAGTCGGCGACGTCGTTCGATCTAGGAAATTGCCCGACTCGTGCAACCCGACGAACATGGAAGTCCCGGAGGGGATCGTCGTCGGCCTCGAGCGCGACACCGATCAAGACGGGTTTGTTTTAGTGAGGGTGCACGGAATCCACGACCCCCTCCGAGTCCATGTCTCGACATTGGAGCGAGTGACGTACGGATTGGCCGCGGGAGATTGGGTTCGCATGAAGAAAGAAGCGAAGAAGCATTCCCCCGTCGGGATCGTCCATTCCGTCAGCCGCGACGGGATCGTGTCCGTCGCGTCCATCGGGGCCGAGACCCTTTGGAACGGAAATTATTCGCAATTCGAAATGGCAAAACCTTATTGCGCGGGGCAGTTCGTGAAGCTGAAGACGAGCGTATTCAGCCCCCGATTCGAATGGCCGCGGAAAGTCGGCGGTGACTGGCTGACGGGCCGGATATGCCAAGTTTTGCCGAACGGCTGCCTCGTCGTTAAATTCCCCGGAAAACTGTCAATCGGGGAAAATAATCGCGACTTCTTGGCAGATCCTAGCGAAGTCGAGATCGTATCGTTCGGGTCTTGTACTACCGTCGCGAAGAAGTATCAACATCTCGAAGATTTTCACTGGGCCGTGAGGCCGATGGCGATCGCACTCGGGCTATTTATGGCTATGAAGACGGGACTTTTGGTTAAGAACGTTGTTCGGATTGGGGTCGGGAGATCGTCGAAGGGAAAGACGAGCGCGGCTGCGCCGCTGCCGGAGAATGACGGAGAAAATAATGTTGATGAGGCTGGACAGAGCGCCGGCGCCGGCGGGGGATGGCGTCCTCCGACGATTGCTGAGATTTTCAGGACTTAGGCTGTGGGAGATGGTAAAGTTCTTTCCTTACATTTATTTATTTATTTTAACTCGGTTCTTAACTTGTGGTAAATTTGTCGACGTTGCAACGTTTAAGCTCTTCTGGAAACTCACACGCTTTCTCTGTCTTGTGTATATATTTATTGTGGACGATTTATTTGTTTTGCTGGAATTATGTGAATAATAATTATTATATAATTATAATGTTAATATTGGCTTTGGAGCTGTGGGTATGTTTTTTTAGCTTATTTGGATTCTGTTCGAAAAAAATATATTTTTTTCAATTTCATAAAATATTTCATAAAAAATTATTTTTATATCAAATTTAAATTAATTTTTCTTTCAAATTCATCAATAGAAATACATTCAATTTTTTTTCAAACTCATTCAAAGAAAAATATTCGTATAAAATAAAAATAAAAGTAAAAAGATTAAATTAACCATATTAATATGATATGATATAAATGTAATTATGTAAATTGAGGTATTTATTATATTAAGTAGATATTATAATTATTAAATTAAAAAATAGTAACTTTATTTTGGAACGGAAAAAATAAAAAATGGTAACCTAGAGGAAAGTAATATATATAGTTACATGACATATATGCAACATATAAAATATTATTCAGCCGCACAAGAGAATAATTCATGGAGTGTATATTCATTTAATTTGAGGAATCTGAAAAAAAATAATAAATAATAAAAAAAAATATATAGACATATATATATATATATATAATTGGTAGAATATTGATTAGCCCACAGTCCGTTTCAATCTTTATTAATTTAACGCTCACATGCGTGGTGTAGTTGATGACTACGTCAAACTTCGTCCACATAAATAATCAATAATTTCACCTTTTTTCATTTCTTCTCTTTTATGGCTACCTTCGTTATATTCAGTTACAAGATAATGACAATTTTTCTTTTTCAATTAATTCAATTAAAATTTATTGCCTAGAATGTTTAGGGTGTCCTTTTCTAACTATTAGTTATTTGATTGTGATTTAAAATTAAATTACAATATTTATTCAATATTTTTTTTAATAAAAAGATATTATTCTTTAAAAAACAAATTTAATTATATTTTAAATTAATCTCAAACAATTTTTTCTAACTATAAACTTTAATATTTACTTTAAAAAGTTAATATTTCTTTTTATACTATTGTTTTATATAATTTTCAATATTTATAAATTACACACAAATTTTGAATTTTTTTATATTATCACCCAAAAATATGTAATTTATATTTTATTTAAAAATTACATTTATTAAAGTTAATTTTATTTTTTATGAAAAATATACAAACAAATATTTTCAAAAATAAAAATTATATATTACTTTCATAAAAATAAAATTATATATTATTTTTCAAAAAATAAAATTTATATATCAAGTTTCAAAAAATAAAAATACATTATTTTAAAAAATTAAAATTACATATATTTTTCAAAAAATAAAATCATAATACTTTCTAACAAATTTTATAGATTATTTTTTTTAAAAATAAAATTACCCAACATACCGAAAAAAAACTAACAAAATTCCAAAAAAAATAAAAATACTTAATTCAAAAAATAATGTTAAACTATAGTATTACTCCATTTTAAAAATAAAACTACATATTACTCTACTAAGTACTGCTTAATAAGTAAGACGTGTACGAATGAAAATAATTATAGTTAATAAATATAATTATAAATTAAAATTAGATAAATTAAAATTTTAAAAAATTATAAAATTTACGATAGCAATTAAAATAAATAATTATATTTTATAATTTATATGGAACGAATGAGAAAGTAAAAAAATAAAGTTGGGTTGGAGCCCAGCCCCAAAATCAAGCCAATGGGTCGTAGATAAAGTATTTCATTATCTTGAATTTCTCTCTACCAAATTTCTACTAATAGTTTAATCCTCAAATTTTCAAAAAAAAAGTTGTCAAACCTAAATTATTGTTCAGAAAAATTCAAAACCAAAAAAAATAAAAATAAAAAAATAATCAAGTAAGCATGTCACTGCCACTATTTACTTGAGCTTTGCTTACCTAATATTCATAATCAACTACTTATTATCATTTTAAATATCTATTTTTTATTTAAAATATCACCTACTATATACATATATATATTCAAAATATGTTAGACGAACCCAGAAAGTGTATTTCAAAATAGCCTAGTGATTTGCCTGTGGAGCCTAATTTACACGGTGGTATTCAGGATATTAAGTTCGGCCGGAATTTACCCAAAGTAACGACTGCGGTTTACACGTCATTAAAATAAATAAATAAATAGTATTTCGAAGTTATCAAAAAAGTAGAAAAAAAGAAAAAAAAAAAACAAATACCCCCAAAACACAAATAAACACATCAAACTAATCAATCAAAGAAAATAGAAGTTAGATCAATATACATATATATAACACAAGAGAGGTAACACAAAGCATCTATGCATGCATATCTGAGACTCAACCAACACAAACTCAAAGCTAAAACTCACCTCTGCCGGCTTGTGCCGCAGCCGCCGACTCTTCGACAAGCTTCTCAGTCAAACTCAGTAGCCGGGAGATCTCCGACTTAACATCTACACAAATCTCATCGTCGCCTACCACATCCATTCTCGCCTCCAAACCATTCTCCTCCGAAACTTGGCCCTCGTAATCTACTTCGATGCTTGCTCCAGCTTTGCTCAGAAGTTGTCGACTCATTTCTGTGATTTTATGCAGCGCACTTGTCGCAGCTTCGACCTCCAGTTGAGCTGCTTCCAATTGAAGTTTCTCGATTGCAATGTCTGCGACACTTTTGTCGCCCATTCTTTCTTGCGCCAAAGCATAAAGTTGTTTTAGATCTTCTTTGTCGCGTGTAGCATCTTTTTTCAGTTGTGCTATTTCCTTCTCTCCATCTTCCAGTTTTTGGAGGACTGTTTTCAGCTCCTCGTCTTTTATGACAAGAGCCTTCTGCGCAGCGAGAATTTCTGTTTCTTTAGCTCTCAGGCTTTCTTGGGTGAATTCAAGCTCGGCTTCCAGCTGTTTCTTCTGCCATTTAAAACCGTCGCCAGCTTCCCTGTCTAGCCATGGAGGTCGCGACCTCGTGTTTTCATGGAGTGGGCTTAGGGTGTCGTGGTTTTCTTCATCTTTAAATGATTGAACAGCTTTATTAGTGAGGTCAACAATCTTTTCTACCACAGACTCAGCTTCGAAGAACTTCTGTTTTGCGTGGGTTAATTCATGCTGAATGGTTTGGACATGTTCGTCTTTCTCCTTTAACATGGACGTCGCTTGAATGAGCTCATCTTCCCGGTTTACAAGAATCCCCTTCAGTTGAAATATATCCCGATTTACTTCTTCCAGCATTTTCTTCGCATTCGTGAGTTCCATATCTTTTTCCTCCAGTATTAGTTGGAGTGAATCCTGTTCGGATTTTAACTTCTGGATCTCTACCCTTGCGTCCACTAATTCCGACTCTTTATCCTTTAGGATAATCTGCGTTTCTTCGAAAGCAGCACTCTTATTTTCTATCTCATCCTGAAGAGCTGACATTTCTTGCATTGTTTGCTTCAAAGATACTCTCTCTTTTTCCAATTCTTTCTGCAACTCATGGACGAGCTCCTTCTCCACAGATAAATCCCTTTCAAGCTCCTTGTTTTGAGCTTCAGCAAGCCGCAGTTTAGATCGCTCGCTCTCCACTTCCGCTTCAGCATCTCTCAAACTCGTCATATAAGACATCACACTCCTCCGTTGTTCCTCAAGATCTTTAACTTGCTTTTGCAGAAGCTCTTCTCGACTGTTGATCAATTCTCTAGATGAAGCTAATGCACTCTGAGTGGAAACCAGCTCAGATCTGACATCCGAAAGCAGCTTCCTTGCTCTTACAAACTCGTCCTGAGTTTCGTTAACTTCTTTTGTAAGCTTAGATGTTTCCCCGGCTAGTTTCTTCAGCTCCTCTTGCGCCAATAGCCAATCCATAGTTTTCTTCTCCAAGTTCACCTCTGCAACTTTCAATTTCTGGGCTTCTATTTTCTGAGCCATGATGGAAGAATTTAGCTCTTCATCTTTCTTTTGAATAGCTCTTTGGAGTTTCCGCAGCTCGAACTTTTGCTTCGCCACAATTTTATTTGTTTCATCCAGGAGCTTGGCCTTAGATTTGAGCTCTGATTCAGCATTCGTAGCCTCTTCATTCTTCTTCACTAAATCATGCTTCATCTTCAAGATTTCCTCTTCCTTGGCAGAGAGCGCGGATTGAGAAGCAGAAATCTCGTCATTCTTTTCCTGCAGACGATGTTTAAGATCACTGATTTCTGTAGCTTGGGAAGTTAACTCTATATTTGCTAGTCTTAGCTCCTCTTCTAGTTTTTCTTGCTTTACTTTAGCAGCTAGTATATCTTTTTCTCGCTGCTCCAAGTCCTCCCTGGAACGATTAATTTCTTCATACTCTAAGGAGAGATTCTTCTCCGCGTCTCGTAAATCCTCCTCCTTTTTCTTCAAGGCAGCCAGAGCAGCATAAAGATCTGTCTCGAGCTTACCAAGATTCACACCCAGCTGAACAGCATCAGGTGAAGAAGGATCACTACCTATTTGCTGCTCGAGTTTTTGGGTCTGAGCAAACAACCTCTCTAGAAGAATCCTAGCAGGTTCGGTTTCTCCATTGTCACTAATGCTCGAAGAGCTCCTGCTGTTTAAGACTGATTTGAGAATCCAACAGCTCTGAGATTTTCTTCTTGGAGCCTTCAGAGATATTAAACTATTCTGCTTCCATTTAAGATCCGAATAGCACAGCTGCAACAAGGAACATTCAATCCCCAACTCTCTCAATACATGCTTGTTGCCAATTACAATAATATAAACAAACAAATATGACTACAGTCTGACACGAGGAATACCAAAGCCAAAATCATCTCGATTCTTTCAGACATTTAGATTAAATTTTTGAAACTTCAATATCTTGAGCTCGAATAGCACAGCAGAGCTCAAAGATAGAAACACAGAGAGTTACAAAAGTTAGCATTTTTTGGTTTCAAATTGTTGCATACATCTTCTGAACAAGCTGCATCCTCATCTCCACTACATCTACTTCTTTCACCATCGATTACATAACTAACACAGAAAACTCAATTAATTGCTCAAATCTCAAACAAAAACCAACAAATCACCGGCCACACAATCAGCAGAATAATCCAATCCGAGTAATTAACAAAAGCTCAAACAGGAAATAACAGGTAAAAAGGTAGAAAGGAGACCTGCGGAAAAGGAGCGAAGGTAAAATAAGAAGAAAGCGCCATACTTCTTCATCCATCACACGAAGACATCTGAGCTCAAGCCGACGATCTTCATTGACATACATAAAACCAGAATCTGAAATTGAAACAATGGAGAGCAGAAGATAACTTGAAGGAGTGGCAAGGGATTGGAAATGGAGGGAAACCAGGCGGCACGGCGCAGCGCATTTGGGATCTGAGAGAGAGAGAGAGAGGAGATGGCGTGGCCGAATCAACGCCTTCAACAGTAAAATCAAATAATAAATTATTGATTGTAGGACAACCACTTTAGTCACACGTGAGATGCCCAACGCACAACTGTTTATTTGGTACGTGTTTGTTTGTGTTTTTATTTTATTTCATACTTCTGATCAAATCTTTTAGGGTGTGTTTGTTTGAGCGATTATCGCTCATGTACACTGTTCATTCAATTTTTTCTCCAAAAAATATCAAATTAAATAATTATTTTTTATTTTTTATAATATACTAAAAATCAATTTTACATTCAAAACATCACATCAACACTTATTTATATCACATCATACAGCTATTTAAATTCAAAATTTTTACTATTCAAATTCCAACTCAAAATTCAAACCCCCAAACAAACACACCCTTATAGTATTACTCCCTTATTCCCGGCATTTGCTTTTTTTTAGTTGATTGAAAAATAATATTCCCTCCGTCCCATAACAAAGTATTCATTTTTTTCATTTTTAGTCCGTCTCATAACAAAGTATTCATTTCATTTTTTTTATTAAATATTATATATCTAACATTACAAATACCCTTACAACTTACAATATATTATACGAATGTCATTACTTTTATATCACACATACTAATAAGGTTATTTTAGTTATTTCTACTTTATTTTTACTACATTCTAATATAATAATAATATTTATAAAATTACGTGAAAAAACAAATGGATATCTAGTTATGAGACAGAGGGGATACTACCTCCATTTCGAAGTAGAACAATATTTATTTTTTTGCACGTACATTTTTTAATACTAGTATAATATTGGTTTATAATAATAAAAAGATAAAAAAGAAAAAAAAACCCTATTAGATTATGAAATATAAATGTAATGACATTTGCTTAATATATTGGAAATTATAATGACATTAATTATATTAGGTATGTAGTACAATTACTAAATTATTTTTGAGACAGATAAAAATGTAAAATGATATCCTTTACTATTTTATGAGTTAATAAAAGTGTATAAGGTAATTTAATATTTTTGCTCTTAAAAAATACAAGTATGGTAGATATTTTTGTAATTTGGATAAAAATATGGGTATTTTGGTATTTTTATACTCTCTACATTAATTTTTTAATATTAATTATTACATTAAATAATATTAAGAGAAAAAATCAATTTTGGTTCGAATAGAACTAAAAATTATCAATTTTGGTCCCAATTTAAAAAATTCATCAATTTTAGTCTCATTATAAACAATTTTAGTCCCATTGTTAAAAACCTAACGGAAATTACTGACGAGGACATAACAGAGGTGACGTGACAGCTAACTTAGAAACTACATGGTTATGTACAATTATACACGGCCATGTTATTACACGGTCATGTATATTTCAATGTATAATTATACATTGTCATGTTGTTACACGGTCGTGCACATTTCTGTTTTAGTTTAAAATATTATTTTTTTGTTATATATTTTTTAAAAAAAATATTTTGAATTTAAAATAGTTGATATAGTTAAAATGGACAAAATCAATATATAAAAATTTATAAGATATATTTTTTTGAAAAGTTATGTCTAAAATTCTATTATTCTTTTTTAATTTTGCATATATTAATCTATTATTTCAATACAATAATTGGATGTTTGTAAGAGAATTTTTTTTGGTAAATAATAAAATTTTAGAAAAAATCTTTCAAAAGAACATACTCGATAAATATTTATATTTGAACTAAAATTAATGTACATTTTAATTATATTATGATTATTATATTTTTTTTTCATTTTAACTATATCAACGGAGTATTATAAATTCAAAAGATTTATTTTTTTTAAATAAAAAAAATAAAAAAATAAAATTTTAGACCAAAACAGAAAAGGTACACAGCCTTATAGAATTATACATGGTCATGTAATAACATGATCATATATTATACATTGAAATATACATGGTCATGTAACAACATGGTAGTGTATAGTTGTACATGACCGTGTAGTTTCCAGGTCACTGCTACATCACTTCTGTTATGTCCACGTAGCAATCTTCGTTAGTTTTTTAATGGTGGGACCAAAATTGATTGAAAATGTTTATTATGAGACTAAAATTGATTGAAATTGTTTATAATAGAACTATAATTGATGAATTTTTTATATTATGATCAAAATTGATAAATTTTAGTTATATTGAGACCAAAAATTAATTTTTTTCTAATATTAATTATTATATTAAAAACAAAAATACAATACAGGAGTACGGAGAATGTTTTTATATTTTCTCTTTTTGCCATCTCATACCGGTAGTTAAGAATCTATCTTGTTTTTTTCCCTTAGATTGTAGAACTATGCTTAAAATTTCTCTCTGACGATCAATTAATTTATTATTTTAATTATAAAATTATATAATATATATTTTTTAAAAATATATTTTCTATATATTATACTACTTTGTATTTAATAAAAAAATTATATAAATTATTTAATATTTAAGTAAACAATTTATTAAATAAAAATTATATATGAATTTATGCACGTATTTTTATTAAATTCATTTTTCAATAAAAAAATATTAAATTTATTTTAAAAAATTTATATTTTATTTTTTATTACATTCTTAACTTTAAAAAATAAAAAATAAAACTATAATTATAATACTAGATTATACTATTCAATATAATATATACATTAAAAAATGATATAAATAAAAATATTTATTTATTAAAAAGAGCTATACAAATAAAAAAAAAAAAATTGAGTGGATCTCATGTGTAAGATATTAAAATTTTAATTAAATTAATTCATATTTATTAAATATGTTTAAAATAAATAAATTTATTAAAATGGTAAAAATGAATCATCTTTCAAGAGAAAAAAATAAAATAAAATGTTATCTGGACAGGACGGAGAGAGTACTGAAAATAATTACTACTATTTTTTTTTTTTACTATATTTTTTCAAAAATAATTTCTAATTTTGTTTTAGGCATAACTTTTTAGGTAATATTCCATCTGTTTCATTATATATGATCATTTTTTTTTTTTTTGTCTATCCAATAAAAGATGACTTGTTTTTATTTTTAATAAATTTATTCATGTTAAATATACTTATCAATTTGATTAAATTTCTTGTGAGTATAACACATTCAAAATCCTTTTATTTCTATCTTCTTCTTCAATTAAATAAATATTAAAATTATTTATATTTAAAACTTCACATTTTTTATAAAATTAGTTTATGTTAATTATAAATAATTACATGTATTTTTTTAATCTACTTGTATTATAAAAAAATTTATTCACTATAAAATAATATTCATGTTGCATATACTTTGTTGGAATATAATACTTGAAATATTTAAAATACCAACAATAATAAAATAATATAATAATGTATTCTTATTAATAACTAATAATATACATTAACTAAATAACCTTGTACCTAACTAAAAGGTCATCGTATATGGAACATAAGGAGTATAATTTTGGTTTTATTTTTTATTTGTGATGATTTTAATTGTAACTTGTAGAAATAATAATAATAATAAAATGAGTGTAAAGTAAGTTAAATTGCAAAAATTCGGAAACATCTCAAAATAAATAGTAGTTCTTCCGTTATTTAAATTTATATTTATTTAACGGGCACAAGTTATTTTAAAAAATGGTTAAAAATAGAAATTTTTTATAGCAAAGAAAAAATATAAAAATATGATATTTTTCTTGCTAAAAAGAAAACATAATTATTTTTTATGATAAGAAATAGAAATATATTTGAATGACAGAAATAAAGAGTAACAAAGAAATATAGACAATTACAATATGAAAGTAAAAAATATAATAATATTTGGATAAATTTTGAAATATAATAATACATTGCTCAGTTATTTAAGCATAAATGACAAAAAGAAAAGTAACTTATCTACTACAAATATTGAGTTCATAGTTACTGCTGACGTATTGTTGTGATATAAATAGGGTTGATGCAATGTTTTGAATATAAAATTAATTTTAGTATAATATAAAAAATAAGAAATAGGTGTTTAATTTGATATTTTTGAAAAAAAAAATAGAATAAATAATGTATTTAAAATCCAATCCTCAAACATACGCACCCTATAAGAGTAAATAGCTTTATATTATGTCTTTATTTGTAGAATTGGTTTTTGGAGAGGATATTTGGAAGTACAATATCAATTCATATATCCTAGATGATCAAAAGTAAGAAATGATTTATTTAACTTGATTTTGATCAACAATTTTCATTATCTTTGATATTTTTTGGTATTGTGGAATTTTTACTAACTTATTTATTTGAGTTCTTGAATCTTATTCATTGGTGTTTTGAAATAATTGTTTGTTGTTAGATCTTTTGCACTTAGAATTTGATTTTTGTAATTAGTGTGAAGTTTTTTTATAGTTCATTATTGAAGTTATATTTAATTGTATAAATTTGATTGATATAATAAATTTTTCTTTGGGCCAAATGATAGAACTCATTATTTTCAGGCAAAATAGTAAAAATATATGTTTGTGGTTTTTCGAATTCACTGAAAATCCCCTGTCATTCTAAAATTCCAAAAAATCTGATTATAAAATGTTGCACACTCGCTCATCCCCTCTAAATTCTAATAACAAACATTAAATTTTATCATATTTAAAGTTATGTCATTATTTATATTTTTTCTAATTTACTTTACCTCTCATATTTTTTCTTTTCAAACATCCACTCTCATTTTCTTGTTTATTCTCCTTCCAGACATTCACTCTCATTATTATTATTTTTTTTCCTTCTTTTTTCTCAATTCTTCTTCAAGTGAAGAGATTATTTTTTATTTTTTTTTTTCAATTTTTTTCTTCAACGAATCAGATTCTTTCTTTGTTTTTTTTTCCAATTTTTTTTTCTTCATTTTGCTTCCCCAATTCTTCTTCAGGTGAATAGGTTAATTTTTTTTCTTTTTTTCCCCTATTTTCTTCATTCAACTCCTTCTCCAATTCTTCTTCAGACGAACCAGGTTCTTTTTTTTCTTTTTTTCCAATCTCTTTTTTCTTTATTCTTCTTCAATTTTCTTTAGGTGCACCAGTTCTTTTTCTTTTTCTTCTCCTTCCCCTATTCTTCTTCAAGCCCACCATTTCTTTTTTTCTGTTTTTTTTTCTCAATTTTTTTTCTTCCTTATTCTTCCCCAATTCCTCTTCAAACACACCAAGTTCAAGAACCAGCGGTGTGAACCAGATATTTATCACTTTATGTGTTCGAATCAACGAATAAAAGAAGGGGAAGGAGAGAGGAGAGTAGAGAGAATGGGAAGAAGAGAAAGTGCTCGGAGGGTTATTTTAGTAACTTCATAGAGATGTTGATTACTTTCCGGATAAAAATCGCATTTGAAGCGCGTTACATACACTCTCAGTTAAGTCCTAATAGAATGGAGGTTTTACGGATCGTTTCATGGAGTTTTAAAACCAAATGGATTTTTCAGCAAATTCAACAAACTACAAGGGGATTTTATGCTATTTTACCTTATTTTTATCATTTACGTTGAAGGAGTTTACAATATAAAACATTCTCAGTATTCAACTTCATTATTTCCATGGTTCTGTTATTCTTTTTATGAATCTTTTGTTCAATTTGTACAAATAAAGAACTTTTGGTAAAGAAAATTTTCAGGGGACAATCCAATTTTGTGATTTACATATAATCGCACTAGTACATGTTTTGTTTTCTTGGTGTAACCATATGCAAGAGTTCTCATGTAATCTGAAAATTTTCATTTTTATTGTATTAATTTACCTATTTTCATCCTTTGTTATTATTTGGAAAAACAAACAATGTAATTAAAAACTATTTACGTAAATATAACTTTTTGGATAATTGGCTGACAAAAGTATAAATACAATATTCCATCCGTTTCGTAAAATAACACATTTAGGGTCCGACATAGAAATTTAAAAAATAAATATTTTATTAATAAAGTGAGAAAAGTAATAAAAAATATTGAAGATATTTTTAGAAATTTAGTTAAAAAATAAAGAGAGACGGTAATAAAGGACATTTGTTATGAATAAATTTTAAATAAATGGTGTCAGTTATGGTGCTTGTAGGCATTACAAATTAAATGCCTAAATTGAATTAAATATCATATATATTGGAAGAACATAAAATTATGATATAATAAATGTGTGATATTTAATTATGCATATGTGTTAAATTTTGTAGAATAAATATCAGCCATTAACGCAAAAATCTGTTTAAAGAATATATCATACAAATATCACGTTTATAAATAGAGTCATAATAAATTTGACAACAAAATAAATTAATCTCGTCAATAAAGGAAGTATTTAAATTAATATCTTCCAAAAAAGGAAATGATATAAAGATCTCGGCGAGAGAGGAAGACGCATAATCAAATCTTTCAAGAATGAAAAACGACATCCGATGAAAAATGAAAGATTATAAAATCTTCATATTGGCCAATCAGAATGCACCACATGACATCATTAAAAAAGGAAGCCGAGACCACCCATTCCCTATAAATAGAGGTCATAACCAATTCATTTGACACACCTAAGTTACATGTAGGATTTAAGCAAATGGGTAAATCTTTAGACTCTCTCTATATTGTTTTTCATGTTTTCCGTGCCATTTGAAACGTTTTTCGTCGAAAGTCATTTATTTGGACAAATGATCCAATATTGGTTAACGAATTGATGGAGTTAACGTTCTTCGTCGTATGCCCAAGCCGAAGGATCAAAGCTCCAAAAGCCGTTGAAGAATTCGTCAAAGCCAAGAAAGAGCCTCCAAAGTTCATCCCAAAGTTTTAAGACGTTCGTCGCGTTCTTCGTCAAAACCATCAACCTGGCCCTCTTCGATCCAAAAGTCAAATGGACACGCCGCCAAATTGTTACAGAGCACCAAATCCACCTCCTCACAGATCAAAGTCTCGGATCGTCCAAAGAAGATATCAAATTCAAAGCTAATGATCAAATTCGTCTACATGGAGACCAAAGCCCTTCAAAAGTCGACAAAGTCAAATCAAAGCTCAAATCCGCCAACAAACTACATTAAAGATCAAAGCCCTCCAAAATCCGGCAAAGCCAAACCAAAGATCAAAGCCTTGGATCATCCAAAGAAGACATCAAATCCAAAGCCGACGATCAAATCGCCCACACGGAGACCAAAGCTCTCCAAAAGCCAACAAAGACAAACCAAAGATGAAAGTCTCGGATTATCTAAAGAAAACATTAATCTAAAGTCGACGATCAAATCGCCCGCACATAGACCAAAGCCCTCCAAAATCCGGCAAAGCCAAATCGAAGGCCAAATCTCTTCGAATTAAAGAAGCCATTCAAATCCAAGTTGAAAAACAAATCGACCCGTAAAGAGAATCAAATGACCAAACTAGAGAATATGACCCGCTTTAAATCCAAATTAAATATAATTTGTACAAAGTTTATATTTATTAAAAATAACACAATTTTTTGTCTACAATGCTGATTTAAAAAAATCAAGCTCACCTTATTGTGATCTTACAACATCGTTCAAGTTCTTAGAAAATATCGTTCAATTGTTTTGATAGCATCAATCAAAAGTTCAAATAGCACAAGATATATACTTTATAGAGCACAATATATACTTTATAGAATACTTCTTTATAGCATGAGACGTATTTATATAGAACATTAACATATTTTTGTAGAACACTAAACATATTTATGTACAACAACGTATATACTTTTCTAGAACATCGGTTTGAAAAACAAACAGATAGCACATAACTCTTATTTTAAGAGAACGATGCTATCTGCACTAAAGATTGAAGCTTTATGGTATTCATTATGTGTTTTTGGAGAAAATTAGCACAAGGCTGACATTTAAGGCATAATTGCTATACCGAAGCGTATATAAATAGTTGAGTAATAGTTACATGTTCATTTTTTTATTTTGCTAAAATTAGTAATGTAATAAATTTCATGAACATATTTAAAAGAGAAATAGGAATAAATTTAGTAGAGGAAAAATTATTTAGGGCAGTTGCCAAATCAGTACAAAAGATTAAAACAAACAACCTATTTTTCATGTGGCAAAACACATAGCTGTATTATATAAAAATATGAGTTGTAGTTATATATTATATTGTCTTGTATATATATATTTAGTGGGTTGAAATCAATAGTGTATTGTATTGTATACTGTATTATATAGAAGTATGAGTTGTATAGTTATATATTATGTTGTATTGTATATACTTTATTGTATTGTATATACTTCATTTGTCTCTCAAGTAAGTATCTGTTTATTTTTTTCACATAGTTTAAAGTATATTAGTATTATATTGACATGCAATAAGAATAAAGTAAAAGTGATTAAAATAATTTTGTATTGTATGATGTAAAGGTAATGACATTCGTGTAATATATTGTAAGTCGTAAAGGTATTTGTAATGTTAGGTATATAGTACAGTTACTTAAAAAAAATGAATACTTAGTTATCTAGCGGAGCAAAATAGAAAAATAAATAGTTTGTTAAGGGACGAAGTAAATATATATTTAATGGGTTGAAATCAATAATATATTGTGTTGTATATTGTATTATTATGTACCGGGTCAACATGAAACTGAAGCATTATTTAGAAAAGCCTCAGATCATCTGTTGAGCTTAATCCTGACCCTAAATCTTGTATCAATAATTTTAAGATTAAAAATTATAATTAAAATGAATGATTTTGATTGGATTTAACCATAGTTAATTCAAAAGCCTCAGATCATCTGTTGAGCTTAATCCTGACCCTAAATCTTGTATCAATAATTTTAAGATTAAAAATTATAATTAAAATGAATGATTTTGATTGGATTTAACCATAGTTAATTCAGATCAATCTGAATCATTGTTTAGAAAGGTCCCAGATCATATGTTGAGGTGTAATCCTACCCTAAATCTTGTATCAATAATTTTAAAATAAAAAAGTATAATTAAAATGAATAGTTTTGATTGGTTCAGTCAGAGTTAATTCAACATGAGATCAATCTGAATTTAATAACTATCTATTTTATCTATTGCACATACTTTTTTAACTACATATATTTGCACAAATATCATTCAATTACAGTTAAATTCAGAAAGATGAATTTATCATTTAACTCAAAATACATTAATTATTATTAAAATCAGTTATTTTTAAACACGTCAAAAACAAATATAACTGTCGTTTTGAAAGAATGTAAAATTTATAAATAAGAAATTATGAAATACACATAAAAGAAAACAAAAATAAAATTGAGAACTAGACAATATATTTGTCGAGATAATTGACCCAACAAAATTAGACATAATATATATTACGTAATAATCAATTGTAAAATAGGTAACAAGAATATAAAGAAATGCAGATAAAAAAATAAAAAACAATAAAGAAATGATAAAATCAAGAAAGAGGAGATGAGAATTGAGAAGAGAAGGAGAGGAGAAGAGGCGAAGGTAGACGAATACACCCCAAAGCAAAGCAAAACCTAACTGCAGGCAGGCAGGGCAGGCAGCAAACACACACACAGATACATACACACATACAGAGAGAGAGAGAGAGAGCCCATTCCATTTTCTTGCCATATCCCTCCCGTATCGTCCGTCATCTGTCTGTTTCCTTCCCATCGGGGGCGATGAAACACCATCAACAATCCCAGAACGACGTCGCCGTCTCCTCCTCCGACGCCGCCTTCACCTCCCTGGCAGTGCCGCTCGCCTCCCATCGTGCATCGGACAAGCCCCCCTCCATGCCCGTCGAGGATCCGCTGCGCGATGCCTCCCCCTCCCTCGCCTCCACCGCCTCCTCCGACTCCGTCGTCGTCGACCGGAGGACCGATTATTCCGCCGTCTGCAAATGGACTATCGCCAATTTCCCAAGAATCAAATCGCGGGCACTCTGGAGTAAATACTTCGAAGTCGGGGGTTTCGATTGCCGCCTGCTGATTTACCCTAAAGGGGATTCCCAGGCGCTCCCGGGCTATCTCTCTATTTATCTACAGATTATCGACCCGCGAAACACAGCTTCCTCTAAGTGGGATTGCTTCGCAAGTTATCGTCTTGCCATTGATAATCTTTCGGACCCGTCCAAGTGCGTGCACAGGGACAGCTGGCATCGATTCTCCTCCAAGAAGAAGTCCCATGGATGGTGCGATTTCGCCTCTCTCAATTCTCTTCTAGACCCCAGGATTGGCTTCCTCCACTCATCCAATGACTGCATTCTCATCACCGCCGATATATTGATTCTTCACGAGTCCTTTTCCTTCTCGCGCGACAATCACGATTTGCAGTCGAATAATGCGTCTGTGACGGGCGGAGGAGGCGTTATTGGCCCTGTGGTTGGGGACGTCTTGAGTGGGAAGTTCACTTGGAAAGTGCATAATTTCACCTTGTTTAAGGAGATGATAAAAACTCAGAAAATAATGAGCCCTGTTTTCCCAGCTGGGGAGTGTAACTTGCGCATTAGTGTGTACCAGAGTGTCGTCAATGGTGTGGAGTATCTGTCTATGTGTTTGGAGAGCAAGGACACTGAGAAGAACTCACTGACAACGGATAGGAGTTGCTGGTGTTTGTTTAGGATGTCAGTGTTGAATCAGAAGCAGAAACCGGGTAATGGGAACCCCGTGCACCGGGATAGCTATGGCCGCTTTGCGGCAGACAATAAGAGCGGAGACAACACAAGTTTGGGCTGGAATGACTATATGAAAATGTCGGATTTCTTGGGGCCTGAGGCGGGATTCTTGGTGGACGACACTGCTGTTTTCAGCACATCTTTCCATGTTATTAAGGAGCTGAGCAGTTTCTCCAAGAGTGGCACACTTGTAGGTGGAAGAAATGGGGGGAATCAGAGGAAGTCTGATAGTTATATGGGAAAGTTTACATGGAGAATTGAGAATTTTACCAGGTTGAAGGATCTTTTGAAAAAGAGGAAAATTACTGGGCTTTGCATTAAGAGTAGGAGGTTTCAGATTGGAAATCGGGATTGTCGCCTCATTGTTTACCCTAGAGGTACGTCGTAACACTTGTAGGCACAATTGAAGAGGCTTAGATAAGGAAATATGTTAAGGATTTATACTGGCATTTCTTATAGTCCTCTTTGTGAATCATATGTTTCATTAGCCCGATTTCACTATTTTGTTTTCATGTGCTATGCATTCTCTGCTTTTCTGTTAGTGTATTTAAGTGGGTTTCTGTGTTCATTACGTCACGAAAAGCTTTATACTATTTATGTCAAAAGAATAGAGTTGTTGACCCTTTTTAGGAAATGAAATATTAAATGGGATGATACTGTGTCAGTGAAATGTGAAGTTCTGTTGCCAGTTACTTGGAAAATTTTCACTGTATAGAAGATATCTTATTCTCTGATCTCAAGATGAAAAGATTTAGACTTGCATAAAACGTGTGAAATCTACTAAATGTAGTTACAGTTGAATCCCTTATGAAATGTTGAGATAAATATAAGACTTATTGCAATCAAAGTATGTAATTATACATCGTAACCTTACTGATCAATGCGGACTGTAGTTAAGTTGCTTATGCTTATTGTTGTGAGGTTGATCAATTACACCTTTCTATCTTGAGACGGAAAGATTTAGATTTGTATCAAATGTGTGAAAGCTACTAAATCTAACTACAGTTTAACCCTTTATGTAATGTTGAGGTAAGTATAAGGCTTATTTCAATCAAATGATGTAATTACAATGCGGGCAATAGTAAAGCTTCTCATGCTTCTTGTTGTGAGGTTGATCAATTGCACTATCGATTTTTGCTGTTGGCCTAATTATGATTAAATGTTTTAGGAAGAAGCAGTTGGGCATTGTCATTGTTAGACTGTAGTCTGCTATATATGTTGAGGTGCACTTGTCGATTGAGTTGATGTATTTATTATATAAATTAAGGATTTAAATTGTTAAAAGAAGAAATGTATGTTTGTGGATATGATGTGTCTCAGTATAACATATTGCATCATATATTGGAAATGTACATAGGAAATGAACAGGATGAAGAAATGGATGTAGGGATTTTGAATATTAGCTTTAGAATCAATTTCTGGTGAAGGTGCTTTTAAATTAATATGAGATTTGCTCGCGTCCAATTTATGCTTCTGACCTTACAATCACTTATTCATGCTTGCTGGTATCAGGGCAGTCTCAGCCTCCGTGCCACCTATCAGTGTTTCTTGAGGTGACAGACTCTCGAGCAAATGGCAATGATTGGAGTTGTTTTGTGAGCCATCGCTTGGCAGTTTTGAACCAAAGAATGGAAGAAAAATCTGTTACAAAGGAATCTCAAAACCGTTACTCCAAGGCGGCAAAGGATTGGGGTTGGAGAGAGTTTGTGACACTTACTAGCCTTTTTGACCAGGATTCGGGATTTCTTGTTCAGGATACTGTTGTCTTCACTGCTGAGGTTCTTATATTGAAAGAAACATCCATAATTCAGGATTTTAATGACCAAGCATCTAGTTCAGGTGATACATCTTCTCAGTCGGAGGGAGATGAGAAGAAGATTTCATTCACATGGAAAGTGGAGAATTTTTTGTCCTTCAAGGAAATAATGGAGACTAGAAAAATATTTAGCAAGTTCTTTCAAGCTAGTGGATGTGAGCTTCGGATTGGTGGGTGACTCATTAACCGCTTCTATTTTTACATTCTAACTGTTGCAGCAGCTATTTATAACATTGGATGTTTCATTCTAATTTTTTGCTGCTCCCTTTGGTTGTGCAGGAGTATACGAGTCTTTTGATACTATATGTATATATTTGGAGAGTGACCAATCAGTTGGAAGTGACTCCGAGAAAAACTTCTGGGTCAGATACAGGATGGCTATAGTGAATCAAAAAACTCCATCTAAAACAGTTTGGAAGGAGTCTTCCATTTGTACAAAGACATGGAACAATTCTGTTCTCCAATTTATGAAGGTATCTGACATGTTAGAAGCCGATTCAGGATTTATTATGCGTGACACAGTTGTGTTTGCTTGTGAGATCCTGGACTGCTGCCCATGGTTTGAGTTTTCGGACTTGGAGGTTAGTCAGCCAAACTATTTCTCTGGATCTGCTAGTCTTCATAATTGCCTAAGTGTTACCTGTATTGCATATTTGCATTGGACCAGTGGAATTCATTCTTTTTCTAAACAAAGATGTGGTCTTGTTTATTCTGGCTTTACATATGAAGAAAATTTATGTTGCTCAGGTCTCTTTTTGTCTTTGATAGGTTTTGCGTTCTGGCCAACGGAACTTCTGTTGCACCTTTACTCTTATGCCCTTATGTATTATGATAACAATTTAACATGTATTGTTTCTGACCTCAACCAAAATGCTAGTTTCAACGACGAAGTGAAGAACATGGCCGTGCTAATCTCTTTTGTTCCATTCAGAAATGGATATGCCTTCAAATTTCAAAATTCTTGATTCTTGCGGTTGTCAATAGCGTGCTCCAGTCTGCCGCATCCTCTGCTCTGCGATGTTGTATTTATGCAGTAGCGGAAAAAGTTCTATGTTTGTTTTTATATGTAAGACTGTATATTTATACAAGAGTACGGAAAAATGAATGAAGACGAAGAGGAGAAGCAGAGAAGTATCTATACAAGAGTAGTAGGGGGAAGATGAAAACAAGGAAGAAAAGTATTTATCATACTTGGAATCTAATTTAATTTTGATTATCTATTTATCAAAATAATAGTGATTTAATTATTTTTGCTTATGTAACTATCTAGTAACTATGACTATCTATTTTTCTGATATTTTATGGTTTGAATGATAGTTATGAGATTAATTTATAAATTTTTCTTATGCAATTTTATTGTACTTTTACATATATAATAACTTCTATAGTTATATTTTTAATTTTTGAGATGACCATTCTGCTGTAGCATTTTAGAGGTTGACTTTTATTTAATGCTATTCGAGATTGACTACTATGTTCTTGCCCCCTATAACCTGAGTATCTGATTTCTTGATAATGAGTTGATGCATATTAGATTCAGGACTTTTCCTTGCTTACAATCCGATATATATATATACACATATATATTGTGAAGGTTTCACTTATGATTCTGAAATAAGTCTGTACAAGATATTCATTTCAATGTATGACTTTCTATTTTCATTTGGTGTAGAACTATGATTTTGACAGTCACATAATCACCATTCTCTCATTTATGCCCTGATTTAATACGCTTTTATGCAATGTTCCTGTACTAACTTTCTCTTTATTGTTTTTTTGTGGTCAGGTTTTAGCTTCTGAAGATGATCAAGATGCTCTGACAACAGACCCTGATGAACTCATTGATTCCGATGATAGTGAAGGTCTAAGTGGTGATGATGAAGACATATTCAGGAACCTGTTATCCAGGGCAGGGTTTCACCTCACTTATGGAGATAATTCTTCCCAGCCCCAGGTTACATGTAGAGAGAAACTGCTCATGGATGCTGGAGCAATAGCTGGTTTCCTGACTGGACTGCGAGTATATCTTGATGACCCTGCGAAAGTAAAGAGATTGCTGCTTCCAACAAAAATATCTAGCTGCAGTGATGGCAAAAAGACTAATAAGAGTGATGGATCATCTCCTAGTTTGATAAATTTGCTGATGGGAGTCAAAGTTTTGCAAAAAGCAATAATTGATTTACTTTTAGATATAATGGTTGAGTGTTGCCAACCTTCTGAGGGGATTTCAGGTGATGATTCCTCTGATATTAGCTCCAAACCTTCCATAGATGGCAGTGGTGCAGTTAGTCCTCTGGAATCTGATGGAAATAATGGAGCGACCGAACCCGCAGCACTCACGATAGAGGAGAGATTAGACCTAGGAGTGGGAGAATCTGCAAATGTATCAGCTGTACAAAGCTCTGATCTGAATGAGACTTGCATAAATACCAAAGCAGTTCCAGGACAGCCTATTTGTCCACCTGAGACATCTGCTGTTTCACTGGAAAACCCCTCACTTCGGTGCAAGGTATATTTCCATATGATCTAAATTAGTGAAGACTCTTAATCTTGGTTTATGAACTGATTTAGGTAACATTTGATTTAGACTAATTGGCCAGAGCAGTCAGAGGAGCTTCTTGGATTGATTGTGGACTCTTTGAGAGCTCTTGATGGAGCTGTCCCCCAAGGTTGTCCTGAGCCACGAAGGCGACCTCAATCTGCTCAAAAAACTTCCCTCGTATTAGATAAAGCTCCAAAGCATCTTCAACCAGACATAGTTGCACTAGTGCCAAAATTAGTTGAGCTGTCAGAACATCCTATCATTGCTTGTTCCCTTTTAGATCGTCTCTTGAAGGCTGACGCAGAACCTACATTACGCTTGCCGGTAAGAAATAGAAAAATTTGCATCTTGTTGCTTTGTTTGCATACTTGAGTTTGTGCATGTTAGATGACATTTATGTAATATTCAATTGCCTTTTGTTTTCCTAGGTTTTTGGGGCTCTTAGTCAGTTGGAGTGCAGCAGTGAAGTATGGGAGCGTGTTCTTTTTCAGTCATTGGAACTTTTGGAATATTCTAATGATGAACCTCTTGCAGCCACAGTGGATTTCATATTTAAAGCTGCACTAAATTGTCAACATCTTCCAGATGCCGTAAGCTAGAATCAGAGATACTAGTGTGTTATTATTATCTTTCTGATTTCTTTCTCTGCTTGTTTTTCCAAGTCATTGAAGTTTGTTGGCCTCCTGCTGCAGGTACGGGCAGTGCGAACCAGATTAAAGAAATTGGGTACGGATGTCTCTCCATGTGTCTTAGATTATCTAAGTCGGACTGTAAATAATTGTGCTGATATTGCTGAATCTATTCTTCGGGATATTGATAGCGATTATATTGTTGATAATTTCTCGCCAAACCATTGCGGGCTTTTTGTATTTGGTGAAAGCGGATCGACAACTCAAAGATTACAATCCGGTGAAGATGAAACTTCTCATGATAGTTCTCAGTTTTCCGATATCTATATTTTAATCGAAATGTTAGCCATACCTTGTCTAATGGTTGAAGCTGCCCAAACTTTTGAGAGAGCTATAGCTCGTGGGGCTTTTTTTCCTCAGTCTGTAGCAGTGACCTTGGAAAGATGTCTTTCTGGACAATTGAATTTGACTTCACAGTATGTTGCTGAGAATCTTCATCAGCCCGATATAGTTGTCGAAGGAGAATCTGTTGAACAAGTGAGAGCACATCAAGATTATTTCACTTTGGTACTTAGTCTTGCTGAGACATTGGCTCTTTCAAGAGATTCTCGGGTCAAAGGATTTGTGAAGGCCCTTTATGGTATGTTGTTCAAACAGTTTGCGGATGAGTCTCATAGATTAAGAATGTTAAAGCGACTTGTTGATCATGCTTCAACTACTGATGCGAATCGCGACATAGACTTGGAAATTTTAGCTACCTTAGCGTGCCAGGATCAGGAAACAGTAAAACCAGTTCTTAGAATGATGAGGGAGGCTGCTGATATTGCAAATGTTGATCGAGCCGAACTTTGGCATCAGTTATGTGCCTATGAAGATGATATTGCTCGCATTCGTGAAGAGAAAAAGGCTGAAGTTTCCTGTATATCTAAAGAAAAAGCTGCTTTATCTCGGAGGCTTAGTGAATCTGAGGCAACTAATAGCCGTCTCAAGGTAATGGTTTTCCTCTATAAGTGATTTACAAAGATCACTATTATGAGAATTTGTTAGATTATTCCCTAGATTCATATCTTGATATAATTAGTATTACATTTTGTGAGAAATATCGTTTGTTTGTTTTGGGTTTGGATTTTGAATAGTAAAAATTTTGAATTAAAAATAGTTGTATAATGTTATACAAATAGGTGTTGATGTGATTTTTTAATGTAAAATTAATTTTTAGTATAATATAAAAAAAAAGTACTTGATTTGATATGATGTTTTTTTGAGGAAAAAAATATAGTGAATAGTAAAAATCTTCAAAAAAATCCTCCAAACAGTGTGTTTACATGTGAGATTTTGAGGTTGATTTTACTATTCCAAAAATATTTTCCTCCAAAAACATCAAATCAAGACATATATTTATCTTTTATTATATTACAGAAAAAAATTAATTTTACATTTAAAACATCACATCAATACATATTTATATCACATCAAACAATTATTTTATTTCAAAATTTTACTATTCAAAATTAAAACTCAAAACCAAAACTTTACGACTAAACACACCCTTAGGATAAATACAAATCCAAAACTTTACAATTAAACACGTACTAGGATAAACACAAATAATAACAACTAATTTAGTATGTATGGTTGAATAATAACCACCAAATCTAAATAATATTAATTAAAATATATATGAGGATTACCAGGGTTGGATAATTAGATTTTGTTTGTTAAATAGATTCTTTTTTTGTACCTATATATATGTGTATTATCTAGTTTGCTTTTGTGTGGAAAATGATATATATTTTTTCTAAACTTTTACATAATTTATGATGCTTTTGTTACATGGCTTGCCAGTCTGAAATGAAGGCAGAGATGGATCGGTTTGCTCGGGAAAGAAAAGAACTTACAGAGCAGATGCAAGAAATCGAGAATCAACTTGAGTGGGTGCGTTCTGAAAGGGATGATGAAATTACAAAGCTTATTGCTGAGAAGAAAACTCTTCAGGATCGTCTACATGACGCAGAAGCACAGCTCTCTCAGTTGAAATCTCGAAAACGTGATGAATTGAAGGTTCGATCATTTATCAACAGCCAGGGTGTTAATTATAATGACTATATGAAAAGATTGACTGATTTGTGAATAAGGAGATTTAAAAACAAATTGGCTGCAACATTGCATCTCCTTCCTTTAGTATCAGATCTGATTATTGCATTTGTGAATATTTCAGAGAGTATTGAAGGAGAAAAATGTTCTAACCGAGAGGCTAAAGAGTGCCGAAGCAGCACGCAAAAGGTTTGATGAAGAGTTGAAAAGATTTGCAACAGAAAATGTGAGCCGAGAGGAGTTAAGAAAATCACTAGAGGACGAAGTCCGGCGGCTGACGCAAACAGTAGGAGAAACAGAAGGAGAGAAACGCGAGAAGGAGGAACAGATTGCTCGATGTGAGGCATATATTGATGGAATGGAATCCAGACTGCAGACGTGCGAGGTACTACTTTATCCTTAATCCCACTTTTGATGAAAAATAGCAGATTTCTTCAGTTCCTGAATGTTGAATATGATTTAGCCGATGAAACAACTAATCTTTGACTAGATTTTGATCTATATCTTTGTAATTTCTGTTGCAGCAATACATATGTCATCTGGAGGGTCAACTCCAGGACGAAATGACGCGGCATGCTCCACTATATGGCGCTGGCTTGGAAGCTTTATCGATGAAGGAGCTGGAGACCATAGCCCGAATCCACGAGGAAGGGCTGAGGCAAGTGCACGCCATCCAACAACGTAAAGGAAGCCCGGTTGGGAGCCCTCTGGTAGGTTCCCACACTCATGGTGCGTATCCTTCTCCCAGCCCCCCTCCTCCCGTGGCTGTTGGATTACCTTCGTCTCTGGTTCCAAATGGTGTCGGGATCCATAGTAATGGGAATGTGAACGTGAATTTGAATAGCGGTGGTAGTGTTAGCCCTTGGTTTAATCACTAGAACTGATAATAGTAACAATAATCTTCTGTCGGGCGACTAGTGGTGGCTGTGCCGCGGCCGGGCTGGGCTAGGCTGAGATATATGCTGCTGCAGTGATATAGTGTTTTTTCTTGCCATTTTGTTGGAACTGTTGGAATGCCTCAAGGTTGATTCATAAGATGTTATTATGATTGGTAGCTTTTCTAATGGCATATTTGAAAGAGTTCATTTAGTTGCAAGGCTATTTTCACTTCAACTTTTAGGCATCAAGTGCAATGGACTATCGATTGATTGTCGAAATCTTTAGTCTTGGTTATACATTATAGTAATATTTACAATAACATATCAATTTGATAGAATGGAATTCATAAGGGTTAGGGGGCTCATGACCCTGTATAAGTGTGCTATATGAATATATTTTATGTGCTTACATAGATTATTAACGCGTGATGTTAGTTTATTTGTTGCATTTGTATTGTATTATTACGAACTATATATTGCTAACTTATAGTATATGTATATATATATATATATATATGTTGTTTGTATTTAGCACCGTAACAACAATCAATGTAAACAGATGTTGGATGGTACTCTAGCTTGGGAATAGAAGATATGATTTTTGCAATTTTCATTTATACTATTATGATAATTGTGCTATTTTCTTTACATACTTGAATTTCCATGTACATTCAACCCTTGTTGTTAATAGCTCCAAAACTCCAATTCACTTGTTAAGGGAACGGTTAGGGTGCTGAATTGAAAAAATTAGTTCAAATCAGCACCCGTAATATATACAAATATCACATCGTCTTATTATACACAACATATGTTGCGTATAATAAAAATAGTGTTATTGGTTCATAATTATAAGTGTAATGTATAACAATATGTAGTGTGATGAAATCAATTAGTATTTATGTTGTATAAGACTATAGCATGTGCTGATAGCTCATGTGTTGTTTTCATATTGCTGGTTCATAATTACAAGTGCGTTGTATAACAATACGTGGTGTGCTGGAAGTTCATGTGCTGTATTTGTATTATATAAATACATACGATGTGCTGTCGGCAGTAATACCTTGTATTGTCTAACAACACACGTGTGTTGTGGTGTGCTGTCAACACGGTGCTGAGCGTGGGTATTTTGATTTAGTGAAACTTAGGCAACAAAAAACAAGCTACCTTCGTATCGTAAATATAATTGAGTTGGCCAAGATCAATCACAAAATTAACATTAACTTAAAATGCAAATCTCAAAACTAACAAAGAATATAAAACTTGGAGCAAAAACAATGCCTGCATGCTTTATTAGATTGAACCGGAAAATTGGGTGCATATATCATTTAGCTATTGTAATTTTGCTCCTGGTAGCGGATCACAAGTACAGGACGAACCGGAGAATTGGTCATAGCCTATAAATTATCATTTTGAATATTCAATTTACTTTTAAATATGTTAAATAAAAGATTATTCACATATACCGCAAAGGTAATCTACTGCGGATTACCTAGCGAACCGACATGCACTACCGGATTGACCCGGATGCTAGCCCTTACCGACTTTGGGATGGCTAGCCTAATTTTCAATTTTGAGTTTTGGTTTGATTTCGAGACTTGTTACTTTTTCTTTTTTTTTCTTATTATAAGAAAACTTGTAACTGTTACTTTTCGAATACGTTCTGGGTAAATTTATTGTCGAACTTAATAATCTGCAAATTAAGTCCGACAATCACACTAGATGAATTATGTGTGAGAAAAAGACCTGGAGTCGTCGGAGATTTATACGTATTGTATAGCTTGGTATGCCCTAGTACATTGATCGTAGAGTTCTAACATCTTCACAGTCGAATGACAGGCATTGGTTAGAAATATATATATTTTTTGTTAAACGAGGTATATAGAATTATGTATGTAATATATAAAAAATTTTGTTATGAAATTATAGAATATAATATATTATATATATTGAAAAAATGATAGAGAAAAAACCTACATTTATATATATATATATATATAGTATTTGTTTTAAAAAAATCAAATTCAAAATCCAATAAACATTCAAATTACAATAATAAGGGCATCCACATCGGGGTTTCTCCTGGGGTTAGAAACCCCCACGTCATTTACCCTAAACCCTATTCAAATTGCTGCATTTAATATTGCCGCATGTCCCAATTAAATTGGGATACGTGGCAAAAAAAAATTTAATATATTTTTCTATTAATTTTTTATGTAGTTTATTTAAATTATATATTAATATTTTTTATATTACATAAATTTTTATTTTTTTATAAAATAATATTAATATTGAATATATATATTTTTATTTAAATATAATTAATTTATTATAATAAATATTGACATATTTTTATTTAATAAAATTTTTAATTAAATATAATCAATTAATAATAAATATTTTTAAAAATTAAAATATGAACATAATAATAATAATCATATTAATAAATATTTGTTATAACATATAAATTAAATTATTAAATAAATATTAAGAAATATGTATATTAGATAAATTTATTATTTTTTAAATTATTTTAAAAATTAATAATTTAATAATATAGAAAAAAAAATGAAAATTTGTGTAAATGGGTTTCTTTTATGTGGATATAAAATGATATGAATTTTTACGATAACGTGGCAAAGAGAATATGACGTGGAGGAGAAGAGAGTGATGGAATAAACTCACTGTGGTTTCATTGATGCGGATGGCCTAATAACACATACCGCAACATTGGCATGAAATAGCCATCAAATTACACGTGGCGTTAAACGATGAAGGACACGTCACCATTTGACCGGTAATACCGTTTGCAAGCTGCTGTTCTTCCATCACTGCTGCCATTTCTGGATCGCTTCTTCTTTTTCGATCTTTTCTGCTATTTCTGGAATTCGTTCAATTCCCAACCACCACCGCCGCCGCCACCACCACCACCACCGTCGATCGCCATGGGATTATTTCTCGGCTGCTTTCTTGGTTTTGCCATCGGATTCGGGCTGATGATCGGATTCGTACGTTATCAGAACACCAGATCCAAAACTCGAATCGATTTGGTATTTTCATCGAATTATTCTTCATCATTGCCTTAGATTCATGGTTTAAAGCCTCTGTTTTTTTTTTTTTTGTCTTTTTCGTCGAATCGATTGTGTCGTAGGCTGCCGCGATAGCGGCGCTCGCGAGGATGACGGTCCAAGATTCGCGCAAACTTCTGCCGGAAAAATATTACCCGTCGTGGGTCGTGTTTTCAGAGAGACAAAAGTTGAGCTGCATTTCCTCTGCATTATTATTTTCGGCCTTAAACTTGTGATGTATATCTCTAATACGAACTTTCGACATTTTTTTCAGTTGAATTGGCTTAATAACCACCTTCAAAAAATATGGCCTTATGTCGACCAGGTTCGTCGCCTTTTCTTTTCATAGCCGTTACATTCGTAAAGCTTTCGCGTAAAATCCACGCCTAGTTTCTTCGTTTTCTGATGTGTTGCGCGCCTTCATTCGTAGGCAGCGTCGGAGATTATAAGAAACTCGGTCGAGCCAATACTCGAGCAATACAGACCGGCTATCCTGGCTTCTCTCAAGTTCTCCGCTTTAACATTAGGAACCGTCGCGCCGCAATTCACAGGTGAGTATTCGACTGCGACTTCTTGAAAATGTATAGGTAATTAACATCATCGCGCGGCGCGATTTTTCGACGCAGGAGTTTGCATTGTCGAAGGAGACGGACAATCTAAAGAGATAGTAATGGAACTTGACTTGCAATGGGATGGAAATCCAAACATTGTTTTGGACATCAAGACTAGAGTTGGAGTGGCATTGCCAGTACAGGTACAAATCCGTCGAAAATTCGTTCGACTAGTCGAATCGAGCTATCGAATAATCGATCGATCGACTGAGGTTTGCGTCTGCGCGATCGTAGGTGAAAGACATCGGGTTCACCGGCGTATTCAGGCTGATGTTCAAGCCATTGGTCAGCGAGTTCCCGTGTTTTGGCGCGATCTGCTACTCGTTGCGCGAAAAAGTTAGTACACTAAATGTATGATCTTCTGTCTGTGTATATGTTGTATTACAATGTGTTATCGATGCAGAGAAAACTCGACTTCACCTTCAAAGTGATCGGCGGCGACATAAAAGCGATCCCGGGGATATCCGACGCCCTCGAGGTAGGTGATCGAAATCGAACGAAATGCAATGCCGTGCGTCGTTTAACCTCCGTCGGCGTGTATAGGATACGATACGGGACGCTATCGAGGACTCCATCACGTGGCCGGTTCGAAAAATCGTACCAATAATACCCGGGGATTATAGGTGAGCTAAAACCTCATCGTCGCGCTTTGTCGAAATGATCGATGTTCTTGGAGAATCATGTTTACGTTGTTGTCGACAGCTACCTCGAGGTAAAGACCGTCGGGATGCTCGATGTGAAGCTCATCGAAGCGAAGGAGCTCGAAAACAAGGACATAATCGGGAAATCCGATCCCTTCGCGAAGTTATACGTTCGACCGTTGCGCGATAGAACGAGGACGAGTAAAGTGATTGTAAGAACATAACTACTTCTCTAGATGTGTCGATTTATCGTGTCGTTATAATGTTTTGACAATGTTCACTCAGATCGTTTTGCTTATTGTTATAATGATTAGAACAACGAGAGCCACCCGATATGGAACGAGCACTTCGAGTTCGAAGTCGAGGACTGCACGACTCAGCACTTGACGGTTAAGGTTTACGACGACGAGGGGATTCAAGCAGCCGAGCTTATTGGGTGCTGCCAAGTGGCGCTGAGCTCGCTCGAGCCGGGGAAGGTGAAGGACATGTGGATGAACCTAGTGAAGGATCTCGACGTACAACGGGGCAAGAAAAACATCGGCCGGGTGACAAAAACTTATCGAACTAAACGCGAAAGCTCGGTGATTCGATAGAACTAAAAGTTTGTTACCTTTGCAATGTAGGTTCATTTGGAGCTTCTATATCGACCATTGAGCGCCGATACCGTGTTCACGAGCTCGTTCGACCCAGACTTCCGATTGACGTCGCTCGAGAAGGCCCTTAAACAAGGGGCATCGTCGTCGGAGAAGGCGCATAGGCGAGGATCATCGTCGACGGCGTTGGAAAAACAAGGAACATCGACAACAATGGCGTCTGACGATGGAGTTGAGGCGCACCGTCCACAAAAGTCCGGACCGAATAATCATACAAAGAAGGAAATTATTCATCGGGGTGTTCTTTCGGTGACGGTGGTCTCCGCGGAGGACCTTCCGGCGACGGATTTTATGGGGAAGTCGGATCCTTTCGTGGTACTCACCATGAGAAAGTCGCAAATCAAGTACAAGACGAGAGTAAGCCTATACAAGACATTCACGATTTTCCTGTAAAGAATGACCTAATAGTATAGAACTTAACTTAAAACTATAGGGTCATCGACTTAAACCCTGACGTTTTATAGAAAAAAAATGAAATAGACCAGGAAATAATAGATTTAGCGGATATCATTTATCTTTTGCATACTTGCAGGTTTTGACGGACACATTGAACCCGATATGGAACCAAACATTCGACTTTGTCGTGGAGGACGGGCTGCGGGAGCTCCTCCTCATGGAGGTGTACGATCACGACACATTTGGCAAGGTAACGGTAGCAAAATACTCTTTCTGTTCCATTTGATTTGTCCACTTTTTGTCATTTTAATCTTAAATCTATAATTATTTTTGTTAAATTAATGTACTTTTTAATTATTTATTTTTATACAGTACCTAAAATTTCGTTCTTAAGCTAAATGAAACAAATTAACTAGGACTGAGGGTATAGTAGATTGATTCGAGATTTTTTTTTTTTGGGGAATTCTTGACCAACTCGAATGATCGATTGAGCAGGACTATATGGGGAGATGCGTGTTGACGCTAACTCGGGCTATACTCGAAGGCGAATACTCCGATTGCATTCATATCGACGGAACGGAAGCCGGGAAGCTCAATATCCATGTCAAGTGGACTTCCCAAACTATTATCAAGGAGTAATGTGTTCTATTTGAACGAGCTAAGTCGTTTTTTTGTATACGATTATGTAGACTTTGTTTTGGAAAATTTTGGTAATAGTAGCTTGTGCGATGTTATGTAAGAAGGAATGTGTATTTAAGATGATGTTAGGGTGTGTTTGTTTCGGATTCCTCTCCAAATATACTATTTATTTTATTTTTTCCTCTAAAAAAATATTAAATCAAACACCTATTTTTCATTTTTTATATTATACTAAAAAATCAATTTTACATTCAAAATTTTACATCAACACCTATTTATATCACATCGTATAACTATTCAAATTTCAAATTTTTACTATTCAAATTCCAATTCAAAATTCAAACATCAGACAAACACACCCACTCAAGTGAAAATTATACGTTTGGCAACGTATTTATAAGTATAGAGATATACGAGATCTTATGGGCAGGCTAGTTTGTTTACGAAGGAGGTATGAATAGTGTTTATTTTAAAATATATATATATATATATGAAAATGTAATTTTTATTAATTAGCAAATTTATAAATTGTGTTTTTTTTTTTCAGTCAATTTTATGCTTACTTTTTTTTTTTTTGTAAATTTTATGTTTATTTTTTTATTTTTTGTAAATTACAGAGAAAAAAAAAGTGGGTAAAAATTGATGGACTAATGGAATAATAAATTTATTTTAAGATATTATAATAATTAATTTAATTAAAATTAAATTTACATTAAAGTAGTTAGAATTCATGTAAGAGCAACATTTACAATATATTCACTCTGCACTGTTTTAAATAATAATATTTAATTTATTTTTTTACAAAACATTATATCAAAATATTATATAAATAAAACTTTAAATCAACACTTCGTTTCAAATCAAAACCAAACATAGCAAACATCACATTCATTTCTTTAGGAGTATATTTTTAAAATACAATTTATAAAATCATAAAAAAACTCCCTCCGTTCCGGATATCATGTCTGTTTTCCTGTAGATACAAGAATTTAAAAAGAGTATAATTAGTAAAAAAACGAACGGAAATGGAAATATGGATATAATAAGTGGGACGAAGGCAGTACAAAATAATAAAACATCTATATCCTATTTTAAAAAATAGGCTAAAAATAAAAATGTGTTTACTTGTGCAATTTTGTTTTGATTTTACTATTCCAACAATGATTTCCCTTAAAAAATATCAAATTAAATACCTAATTTTTATTTATTATATTAAATTAAAATTTAATTTTACATTCAAAACATCGTATCAATACATATTTATATAACATCAAACAACTATTTGAATATAAAATTTTAATATTCAAAACTAAAACTAAAAATCAAAATCAAAATCTCACAAATAAACAGATCCAATGAGAGAGAATTTGTTATACTTGCTCAGTCCCTAAACAATCTATCAAATTTTTTCACTATGGTCCGTCTTAACATTACAAATATCCTTCCAATTTACAATATATTACACAAATGTCAGTACCTTTATATCAAACAATACTAAGAGGGTTAATTTAGTTTTTTTTTTATCTTTATTTTTACTTTATCCTAATATAATACTAATATTTCTAAAACTTGATGCAAAAAACAAATGAATATATAGATATGAGATGGAGTGAGTATAAAATACTACATCCGTCCGACTTTAAGGGTCTGATTTACTTTTTGCGTATTAATATTTGAATATTAATTATTATATGAAAACGTAATACAAATTAAGAGAAAATGACAAAAGTACTTCTACTAGTGTCTTATAATTTTAATAATATTTTTGTAAAAAAATTATAAAAATATTATTTATGTTAAATATAATGACGTAGAAGGTAAATGAGACCGAGAAAGAATAGTTAATTTATGTAACATTCTTATTAATTTTTTATTATTTTATGTAAAATAGCTAGTTGTGAAGTTACAACCAAGCAGCATGTCACGTGTCTGATAAAAATAAAAAAACGTATCACATGTGTGATGTGTCACATTAGCTCACACGCGTTTTAAGGGTAAGAGAATATCACATGAATAATAAAATTAAGATCAAACTGTTTTTTTAGTCTCGTAATTCGATCCCTTATCATTTTAGTCCTATAATTGGAGCATGTCGCAAACTAGTCTCGTAAGTGAAAAATTTTCGTTGTTCTAGTCATCCGGCGCTAGAGACGCCCGCGTGGCTCGCCGGAAGTGACGTGTCCGCCAGGTGTCCCGCCAGGTCAGCGACACCTGGCGGCCCCGTGGATTTATTTATTTTTTCATTTATTTTTAATATTTTTTAATTTTTTTAATTGGATCAAATAAAAAAATGAAATAAAATTAAAAATAAATAAAAAATAAATTATAAAAAAATTTAAAAAAATGAAAAAAAAAAATCCACGTGTCCGCCAAGTGTCGCTGACCTGGCGGACACGTCACCTTCGGTGAGCCACGCGGGCGTCTCTGGCGACGGAGGACTAAAACAACGAAAATTTTTCACTTATGGAACTAGTTTGCTACATGCTCCAATTACAGGACTAAAATGATAAGGGGTCGAATTACTAGACTAAAAAAACAGTTTACCCTACAATTATCGGTGGATAAAATATTTTATTATTGTATAAGTTTAATGCATAATCAAGAAATGAATAATAACATAATTCTGAAAGACGAACAGAATATTAAATTTTATTTTATACAAAATTATTTTTATATTGTATATATTTTTATTAAGAGATTTTCATATATTTTTTAGACATGATTCTCAATATATATATTTTATCCTTTCACAAAAATTAATATTCAATCTAAAATATTCCTTTTTTATAGTACTAATATAATTTTCTATATTATAAAAAAAAAAAAATTCTTTAATGTAAAATACTGTACAAACAAACTCACAATTTTAAAAGTATTTTATCTTATATTTTGATTTTCTTTTAACTATGTATATTTCTTTTATTCATTAAAAACTTTAATAAATATTATAAGATTATCAATAATATTATTCATATAAAAAAATAAAAAATTACTCACTATCTCATATCTATGTATTCGTTTATTTTTTGCAAAATAGTTTTAGAAATATTAATAGTATATTAGAACGCAGTAGAAATAAAGATAAAAGGACTAAAACTAATGATATAAATGTATTATATTCGTTTATTATATTAATATTATATTCGTTTATTATTGTATGATATAAATGTAATGACATTTGTGTAATATATTGTAAATTAAAAGGGTATTTGTAATGTTAAATAGATAGTACAATTACTAAAATAGATACTTTATTATGAGACAGACAAAAATAAAAAAATGAATAAATTGTTAAAGGAAAAAAAAAAAAAAAAGAAGGTATATTATAACATATTGTCATTAATTCATTAAATTTCACTATTTAAAATACTACTCCCTCCGTCCCAGATACCATGTTCATGTTGCCGTTTCTGTCAGTCTCATATACCATGTGACTTTTTTTTTTGGAAAATGATTACACACTTTAATCTCATTTTAAATTTTTAAATTTTATTTTTTAAATTTTAATTACACTAATTAGTTATCTTAATTTTAATTTATAATGATTTATATTATAGAATAATTATTTTCGCTAATACATTCTTAATTATCTACTAATTGTATCTGGTACGGAAGTAGTATAACACTAATAAAAAATGTTGATTTTTTCGGGTCAGCTTGAATATTATTTATTTACATCAATATCATTTCAATTTAAATATAATGAAAACAAAAATATATATTATTTAAATACTATTAACTATTATTTAAATATTATTTCATTTGTCAGTTATAATTGTGCTAGGTTTTCTTTAGTTGTATACAATTAATTTACATAAAATAATTTTATTATCTTTATTTTAATATATTATTTTAAATTTGTTATTTTTTTTATTTATAGCATTATTATTGTTTTTATTAATTCATTAATAATTTTTTTATATTATCACTATTTTATTTTGTTTACTTATTTTATTTTTATATTAAAATACTCCCTCGTTCTCACTTTTTACAGCAAAAAAAACCTTTTACCAACCAACAATATAATATTAATATTCTTTACATCCTTGTCCAACCCAATTAAAACTACATCAATGGGACGGAGGGAGCAATAAAAATTGGACTGAGAAAGTATTTATTACTCTCTCCACGTGTTCCACTTAAAATATTTATATATTTATTTTTATCGGTCTTACCTAATTTATTGTTTTAATGTATAATTATATATTTTAATTTAATTTATAATTTTAAATTTTTAATTAAATTATTAAATGATTTTTATTAATATATTTTTTAATTATATTCGACTGACGTAGAGAATAGTATTTTAAAAGATGAAACAATCTTACAATCAAACTAAATTTATCATTAACATTGGGGCAGTTGAGAAGGCAATTGATGCTGACGGACTCCCACTTCTTGGCAGGCAAAGTCGAGTGGAGCCGCTGTTAATGGCGTCCGACAAATAAATCCAAATATGGAACGAAACGGAAGAATATTCATTTGTTTTTATATCACAAGTAATAAATTCAGCCGACTCACCCACCGACGACGAGCAAAATGAACTTCAAAGCAATCCCCGCCCTTCATTTCCACGCCTTGCGATATCGCGGTGCTGTAACATTCGCCATTTCTTCCCCCCAACCCCGCGGTAATTTTCCGAATCTCCATTTTCACTGCCGACTTTTATTAGGTACTGTTCTAACCATATTTTAATAGATTGCTTCATTGATTTCATTCCACATCAGAATTGAGAGCGCTTATCGTTGACGCCTACTGACTGATTATCCTTTTTTTTAAAAAAAATAAAAATTAATTGTTTTGCTTCTGGCCAAATCTGAAGGTGTTGGTGAAGCAAGATCTGTATCTTCAGAAAGCTCGTCAGATCTTGTTCGTTGGTCTCCTTGTGAGTCGAATTCGTTGGGTTTTGGAATTTGGGAATTTTTTTGAATCTGGAAATGGGGTGGAGATACAAAGCCGGTCTGCTGTTGATTGCTGCTGTGGTTATTATTTGGGTCACCTCTGCAGAGGTTACTCAGGTCAGTTATTTCTTCTCATTCTGGTTTTAGAATTCAAATTACGTTAGAGGTTATGTAGGAAACATTATGGGCAAATTTCTTGTTGGCAATTAATGTTGGGGAGTTCATTTATTGGTGCCAAATGGGTTTGGGAATCTGCTTATTTGAATCATGAATTGAATCTTGTTCATTTTATGCGGGAGGAAAGTTGTATCATGAATTGAATCTTGTTTTCTTCATAACAATCTACACATTAAATTTGTGTGCTTTTGTAAATTCACTGTTGGTAACTGGTAAGATACTAGGGCAATCACTAGCTTCTTTAAGAAGTTCTTTGTTTTTATATATAAATGGAGATTTGATTCATAAATGTGGTGTAATTTGTGTGACCTATTTTCTGCCATATTTGGGGGCTATTACTTAGAAGATATGCATAAAAAGATGCTACTAAATGAGTTAATTTTAGCATTGGCAAGAACCTAATATTGCAATTATTACATGTTTGATTCGAAGTAACATATGAACAAACTTGGCAGAGACATACAACCACGGGGCATCATGTACAAGCCATGGGTTGTGTATATTTTAGCCTCAAGGTAGATTATGCACTTGTGGCGTTGGCCAACAAAATGTTTTATGGAATGGTCAACATTATTACGGCAGAAGTGTCACATTTATGAACTCACTGTATTCGGCTGTGTTCAAAAATCCCTTGTTTGCTGAGAAATCATTGAATAAGGATGAGATTGACTTGTGCTAGATTATCTAAAAGGCACAATGCATATTTATATAGAATCGAATACATAGGAGCTATTCTTGGAAAATTAAATGCACGGTACGTATATTCTAGGAAGTTATATATATATATATATATATGGTCGATCATATCGTATCAAATATAATCTAAATAAGGAAACTTAATATACGTTAATCACATGCAATCTTGTGTGGCATTTGGGTCTGCTACAAACTTTTGTTTTGAATTGGTTGAGGTCACTTTGAGGATAGTGGTTTTCTAGATGGGGCATGATGCGATCAAATAAGGTGAAAAAATGATAAATTAATGAAGATTCATTTGCAAGCTCGAAGTGCATGTGGTGATAATTGAAATTGAGGATGAAGGACAAAACTTGAGCTGGCTGTGGCCAAGTTAAACACAAATCAAATTTCAGTTTAGGGCTAAGAAATAGATGATCCTAGCCTTTTGTCAACACAAGGAATGTCAACTTAAGAAAGATGGTTCATTGAGGAGAAGCCATCATTTTCATGGCACAATGTATTTTTTGAAAAAAAAAAAAAAAAAAAAAAAAACAGGAATAAAGACACGCTATATGTAGGTCTAGGTGTAATGTGTTTTCATTAAAGATTAAATGCACTCTATTATGTGGCATTCAATTACACTTAAGCACAGTTGAGAAGCATTCTAAGGGATTTCTTGCATGTGCTAAAGTTCTATGTATTCAGGCGTTTGGCATCCACTTTTTTGGTTTTTAATTAATTTATAATTTAATAAATATTCTTGATTGTTTTGATCAAGTTTTCAATTTTATTATTATTTGCATTAATACTCCCAAGTTTGAATGGTTTCTATATATATAACAGAACTTCCCTTCTTTCTTTTTTTTTTTTTAATTTTTTGTTTTTTGTGTTATCGAAAGATTGTGGAGTCTCTATTAATTTTTAGGCGTTTTGTCATAAAATTGCCATCCTATTAATAATTCGATGTTTGTTACCTTTGTTGGGTGTGAGTTTGATTTAGGATTCTCTGAATATGTAATAATACAATTGAGCAAGCATGTCTCTATATCCTTCTACTTTCTTGTTACACAAGATTCATCAGATTTGGTATAAGAGATTTCCTCATGACTTCAACAATTAAAAGTGACTACTAGATTAGTTTTGAGTTTTGATTAATTTACATCATAGATCATTACAGTGCCTTAGACACGATGACCATGAGGTATTGAGAATGAGAAGTGGGGTGGCAAGTGGCAAGTGGCAACATTAGCTAATGAGATCCGACAAAAAATAGCCTATAATTATGTAAGATGGAAGCAATAATTCATATGAGATTATGGCATAAATAATCTACTGAGAGAGTGATTGTGGGTTAGATAAGCAATCCAAGGCCAAGGATTGATTTGAAAATTTGACACTGTCAATCAGAAAATGGGATATAAAGTTATAAACTATATTCTCATCATTGAAATGTTAACTATGAGTCTCAAGTTGCAATTACTATTATATCAAGGGGGTGGTTTGTTGTCTGGAGGTTTATTTGGAATAGCATTACTATTCAATTGACATGACAACACTGACAAGAAATGTGTAGATTTATCATAGCACACTTTCCAAATTTACACCATCTTAATGGCACAATTTTGCACCGGGTGATTGATGCGCAGTGTCAAAGCTTGAAGCCTGGCCCCTTTCCTAACTAGACTGGATGGAGCATCCTCATGCCGACATGAGAATTCAAATTGGATATAGCAAAGCTTAATACTAAATTATTTTATTAGGTCTATCAGGCTGGATTGATTTACTTATTTAGCGGACATTTTTCTTAGTTGGGATAGATTTCGGTATTGAGTCTAGTGTGTTATTAGGTTTGGAATCCTATATATTACATACTTTTCCTCACCAAGGAGGACATTCCAAACATCCTAGCGATGAGGATGAGTTTTGTCCTTGTACATGGATGATCTGAAGGGTTCAAATCAGTTTATCCCTTGTGGTTTATATGTTGTTCTAACAACCTAGTCCTTTGTCTGAATATGAAAGCATTGAAACATTATGAGGGGCGATCTAGTGGTGTGAGGGGTGAACTCCCCTCGATAGTGGTTCAACAATGTTTGTGAACTCTTAATCCTTCAATCCCTTGGAGTGGTATCCTAATTCGTCTTAATCATGTTAAATCTTTTATGGGCAGGTTTAAAGACAAATTTCTTTGGGTTAAATATCTGTCATACATTCTGGTTTTGGTTTTATTCGTTCTTCTTTTATGAGAATATTTTTTACTTATATATGGAAGAGATTCGGCTATAAAATAAATTCAAATGTTCATTTGGCAAAACTCATCTATCCTTGTATCCCAGTTTAAAGTATTAATCCCAGAATCACCGAATGAGGAAACACTGAACTTTTATGTAATTGGGTCAACTTTTTGCTGATGTTAGGCCCTCTAACGTTATATGGTGTTTTAGCAAGAAGATACACATCCACTTATATTTTAATTTGGCTCTGTAAACAGGATATTTTCACAGATTATAAGCAGCCGTTTGCTGTCACATATTTGGGAGCTTCTTTAATGGTTATTTATATCCCCGTTGCATTTGTAAAAGATTGGATATGCAGCATCCTAAGAAGAAGACGATCTAACAAAAAGGGTCGATGTGTAAGTAATGGTGCATGTTCTGGACTTGATTCTCATTTAAAGTATGCTGGCGAGCAGAATTTATTTGAGATTGAAATTCAAGGATCCCTAAACAGAAAAGACAGTGAGCTGGAACTTAAGGAATGCGAAGCAGATCCTTTAGTTTCCAAACAAGGAGATAATGCTACAATTATGAGACCTGCAAAACAGATAACAACTAAAGAAATTGCAACTTACGGATTTTACATAGCCCCTCTTTGGTTTGTCACAGAGGTAATTCCAATCCCTTTCTCTTCGATGCCTATGATATGTTCATGAGGTTTTTTAAAATTGATTGCTAATGGTTTTTATGCATCAGTTTTACTTATTTCAATCTTTAGATGACCTGATCTTACTGTACCTGTAAATTATATAATTTTTGCAGTACTTATCAAATGCTGCTCTTGCACGTACAAGTGTTGCAAGTACTACAGTTCTATCTTCTACCTCAGGATTGTTTACGCTCTTTATCGGTGCATATTTGGGACAAGATTCATTAAATACCGCAAAGGTAGTGGCTGTATTTGTCAGCATAGCTGGTGTTGTCATGACGACACTGGGGAAAACTTGGGCACCCGATGAGTCACAACTGGATACTTCCTCGTAAGTGTTTTCCTCGTATTTTATGGACCTCAAACACAACGGCATAAAAGCATTCTTGAAAAGCTGTAGTTTAAAGAGTTCAACCCAATCTTTCAATTTCATGTGTATTCCCTCAGTTTGCACTCTGTAATTGTATATTTCAGGGGATTTGACTCATGGTTCAACTTTTTGTTTCTGTTAAAGAAGTAGCAAACGCTCTCTTGTCGGGGATCTTTTTGGGCTTTTGTCGGCTATGAGCTATGGCTTATTTACAGGTGACGGGCTCTCTCTTCCTAGACAGATAATGGTGAAATCACTCACTCACGAGCATTTATTAAATGCCGCCTTTCTATTTGATTGTGCAGTTCTTCTTAAGAAGTTTTCGGGCGAAGAAGGTGAGAGGGTCGACGTGCAGAAGCTCTTTGGTTATATCGGATTATTTACGCTCGTGGCACTTTGGTGGCTTGGTAAGAGGTTAATGCGATATTGTGAAGTTGAATATTAAAACATGTATTTCTTACGTCCCAATTCAGAGTACCATTTTACCATTTTCATTTGTTCTATTCAAAGTATCATTTTTCTATTTTAGAAAAAGTAATCGTACAATAACACCAAAATACCATTTTAACTTTTACTTGCATTACCAACGCACCATTATACATATAATTATTTTACACACATCCATTGACTAATAAAATATTATTTTTTAATTTACTATAAAATTCCAAATGACTCTCTTTGGATTGGGCCTGAGGGAGTATGAATTACTTCAAATCTTGTCTTGATGTGGTATCTTCTGTCTGAATCCTTACACATATGTGACTATAATCCAGTGTGGCCACTGACGGCTTTGGGCATAGAACCCAAGTTTACAGTTCCTCATTCAGCTAAGGTGGACGAAGTTGTGATAGCTAATGGGCTCGTCGGCAGTGTTCTTTCCGATTACTTCTGGTACGTAAAAATGCTACCTTTCTTTCATCTCCTTCCCGGCAGGCAATGACATGTAATATCTCGTCGGGTTCAGGGCGCTGTGCGTTGTCTGGACAACACCACTGGTTGCTACCTTGGGCATGTCTCTGACAATCCCTGTGGCCATGGTAGCGGATATGTTGATTCACGGGCGACGGTACTCGGCCATCTATATTCTGGGCTCTGTTCAGGTGAATTGGATTCCATTTTTGTCGGAGAAAAGGGAATGTGTAGTGAATATACTAAGCTTAAGTGCTGATGAATGGTGCAGGTATTTGGAGGATTTGTCATAGCCAATTTGTCAGATTGGTTTTCAAAATCTTTGGGACTATAGCAGGATTGGTTCTTCCTTCAAACTTTATTTAAGATCAGCAGCAGGAGGTGTGATTCTTGATTTGATTTTTGTTGTTTGTTGGATCGAGTGTTGTTGTTGTTACGAAGATCCATCCATTCTTCAAGGCTTGGTTTTCTTTTGTGCTTACGATTCCTTTTTCTTTTTGTCTGAAATGTTCTGAATCAGCTTCGTACAGTTCTTCAACCGAATGTCAAATAGTTCGAATATAGGGTTTTTTTTTTTTTTTTTTTTTATGGTTTTTGAAAAAATTTTGGTTTGTATTTAGTATTAAAATGACATATGATGTGATATTTTGTCAGGATTTTTTTTTTCTTCGTAAACTCATAGTCCAAATAGTAGAAAATCCAATAAATATTCCTCAATCTTATCCCGAATCAAAATTTGAAGATAGCTCATATCCTTCCAGATGTAGCATCGACATTCAAATGTGAAAGTATGATACATTTGGCTTCCTTTTCTTTTCTTTTTTTTTTTTCATAGCTCGTCGATGTGATCTCAGTGTAGGTCTTAGATATACTATGTTGATCACATAATATGTAGTGTTGATAGTCTCGGCCTATAAGTACTTCGCAACATCTTTGGCTTGCATCATTGATCGAGCCATTTCTTGAAGTATTCAATTCTTACTTTCCACGACTCTATTTTTTCGTGGGGTCTTTGGGGTTGAATACTCGTGAAGTATTCCAAGATCAACATAGAAACCATCAAGTTTCTGATTATTGGTACAAATTTGATTCACCTTTGATCTCTTTTTATTCATCAATCTTTTGCATAACTTTTTAAAGGTATCAAATGTATCACATTTCTACTTCATAAAATCAATCAATGTATCTTGAAAAGTCATCAATGCAAACAAGTATGTATTTTTTACCTCTAAGAGATACAAACTCCTTACAAGTGTTGTTGCTCTGATATTTCGACTACGGGTGAGAGATACATTTCTGCTTTCCTCGAGCACAATCACCACAAACAAAGTTGGGCAACTTCGAAAACTTTGGTAATCTGATAATTTCTTGATTGTTCAACTTTATCAAGTTCTGTTGGTTGATATGACCAAGTCTTGTATGCCATAGAAAAGCTCTATCATTTTTAATGCAATATCCATGTATTTGTCAAGTAAGTAGCAGTTGTTTCTTGATAGTCATCACACACTATTTCTTGTTCTTGTACACCTCACAAGCATTCTTAGTAAACTTCACTTGCAGCTTATCATCACATAACTGACTTATACTAGTGAGATTAGTGCTTACGCCTTCAACAAAATATACCTTCGACAACTTCGGTATACTTTTGGCTTCAAGAGAATCATAACCCACAATTTTTCCTTTGGCTCTGTTTTCCAAATATCACTTCTCCACATTTGTCAATTACATAATCCTTCAATAGATGCTTCTGATTCGTCATATAGCGTGAACATCCACTATCGAAATACCATCGGGATGAATTGATTGTTTCTTGACTAGATAGGATGACATTGTACATCATCTTATGTTGATTTTTCTTAGGTCTGCATTCCATTATGAAATTCACTCTTTGTTTCAACTCATCTTAAGGCCAGTGGACCTTCTTTTCAGACATCAAATCCCTAGCCAGCTTGAAACAGTGTGATTCAACATGACCAAATCGAAAATAGTACTTGCAGTTACTCTTCTATTGTGACGACAGATTGACACGTTTGTTCCTTCTGCCATTTCGATTTTGTCTTTCATTTCTGTTTTCTTTGGGACCTTCAGTGTTCTTTTCGTTTGAGGGTTTATTTGGAATATTCACATTAGTAAGCAATCCGCATTTTACAAAGGTAGTTGGTTTCACATTAATGGATCTTTGATAGCTTTCCAATCGATAAAACTTCATCGAGTTTGTTTTTTTCTTTCTTGAGTCTATCATTCTCTTCTCTCAGATCATCACACTTCATTTTCAGCTGTTTGACTTCTCTTTGAAGTTTTTCACTGATTTCGAACATTTTTTGATTCACTTCATCAGCTTTTTCAACTCGAGCTTCCAAACGGTAGACTGTGTTGATCAAATCTTTTTTTTTTTTTTACATAAATTTTCTGTTCTGCTACAACTTCCTCATAAGCTTCTATCAGCTCATAAATGTCCATCTCAACAGTGCCGTTACAATATTCTTCAGGAACACTTTATTTTCATTTGCTAGATACTTCTTCATTAGCAACGAAGGCCACCACACTTTCATTATCACTTCTATCTTCAAATTATTGATTGTCTTTTTCATCACTCCAACTAGCTTGAAATGCATGCTTTCCTTTTTCTCGAACATTGCACATTTAACTTTCACATGACCTACTCCACCACATGCAAAACATTTCGAATCACTTGAAATTTTCTGGCCTATAAACAGTGTTGAACTTGTTTTTGTAGATTTTATCACAAACTCCCTTTCCTTTGCTGTAACCACCACTTAAGAGTAAAGACTTTGATTTCGAACTTTTTGTTTACACTTCTCAGCATATTTCAAACCAGTCTTTGTTCATCATATTCCAAGTCAAGAACATATGCTTGATTCACCACATCCTTGAATCGAGTGTAGAACGGAGATATGGTTTCATCATTTGTCATTTTCAAAGCATCGAACATACTTTCCACCATTTGGCGTTTTGTTTTCTTAACTTCAGTAGTCCCTTCGAATGCATTTTCCAAGGCTCTCAATGCATCCTTTGCTTTCTTACAATTTGAGATGACATGAAACTGAACTTCATTGTCTGAAGCAAATATGACATTTACGACTTTAGCATTTCTACTCGAAATAATTTTCTTTTCAGGTGTCAACTCATTTCTCGGATTCAGAACGATAGTTGGGGAGTTTCTCTAGGCATCACTTTGGTTGGAGGGGTCCAGCCAAGCTCTAAAACTTCTCAAATTTCATCACCAAACGTTGACAGGTAAGTCTCCATCATGTTCTTCCAGTAGTTGTAGTTGTTCTCATCGAAAACTAGTGGATGAATGGACGAGGTTATTTCACGACTCATCTTGAACCATTGATAGATCTATCTACTCGGGGTATTGAGCATGCTGCTCTTATACCAAATGTTGAAAATCGGGTGGCCGATCGAACAAGAGGTCCAACGCCTCCGAGTAACTTGCATAGATGAACTGTGAAACGTTCGACGTAAACATAGCTTTACAATGTAGTTGTCTCGCGGTTATAACAGTAATGTGTGTTCGTACACAGATCGATGGTTGAATAAGAGCAGAAAGAAAAACAAAAGACCAAGTTTGTTTACCCAGTTCGATTTTCCAACCTACGTCTGAAAGATTCCAATCTAGGAGTCTTAACTAAACCAAACAGTTGGTTTACACCGTATAAGACACAAATCCGAACTATCCAATCTATTTTCTACCCAAGCTCCATTTAGTTTATACAAACTCTCATGGACTGACTGTTATTACACCGTAACAACTTCACCAGACCAACGGCCAAGCTAAAAACAAGGTTGCATACCAGATGATTATCTTCTTCGGCTTCGACTTCAATAATCCTTCTTCTCGTTTTCAAACCTCTATTAAAACAACTCTCAACAGTCTATCAGGTGGAGAAAAAACATGATTTGAAGTGTTGTGTATCTCCCCAAAGAAAAACAACACACAAAATACATGCACTGTTCACATGAGACAAAGTTGATTGTGTGTCAACTATGGGGGCAATGTACCAAGGCAATAAATGTCATGCAATACAATAGGACATTATATATAACCTCTCTTGCGGTTCCTCTGTCTAGCACACATACATTTATTTTGTTCTATCGAGTGTACACACTGAATACATTCGAAACTACTAGCTTGGTCAACTTTCTGTCATTGCAGATTTTCAGAAATAGTGTAAAAAATATAAACAAAAAGTGTTAAAATCATCTTTTGGCTTTTTGTATAAGCCAACAAAAATGTTAAAATCTATCTTTTGGTGTAATTATAAGTGATAATACTATTTTTTTTTTAAAAAAAATAAATTTAAATGATTCCTAACAAATTATTATGTAATTATTTACAAATATAATTTGTTTTTTGTGTGTATTTTGTTGAAACTTTTCAAAATATTTTTACTATTTATCAATTTTTTTATTTTTTAAATATCAATTTTTTCTCTTTATATTATAGTAAAAAATAAATTTATACACATAAAATCAAAATGTATTATATTAAATCAAAATCAAAATCTATCATAGAAATATTAGTCCAATTATCCGTACATTAAATCAAATAATTATTTAAATTAAAAAACTTATTATTTAAAATTTAAACCCAAAATTTTCAACTAAGTGTTATTATTTCGTAAATACTTTGTTTAAAATATTTAAATTTAAATTATTTCTTTTCTTAAAAATAAAAATTTAAGCTCGCCTTGGTCACGTCTAAGTCCGATTTTTTGTATAATACTTACTCGGATTTCAAATCATACTTATTTTGTGAGTTCCAATTAAATGTAATTAAAAAATAAGTAAAATAATTATAAGTAAATTGTTTGTGGATTTTTGTTTTTTTTTTTCATAAAAATATTAGATAAAATATTTATTTATTTTATATTATACTTCTTGGTCTAAATTAGTAAATTATTAATAATAATTTATGATATTATTTTATTATTTTTGTATATTAATAGTATTGTTGGTATTTTAAATATTTTTAGAATTATGTGCAATATAAAAATAATTTTTTGAATAATAAAATTTCATATAATACAAATAAATAAATATTTTTTATTTATAATTAATTTAAAATTAATTTTATAAAAAAATGAGACATTTTAGATATACATAAAAATATTTGTTTAATGAAGAGTGATATATAAATAAAAGGGTTTTGAATGAATTAGAAATTAAAAATTTAATTTAATTAATTTATATTTGTAAAATATATTTAAAATGAATAAATTTATTAACAATAGAAAAAACTTCCTCTATGAAACGGACAAAAAAATAAAAAAAGAAAAAGAAAAATGAGTATCTGTATCCATAGCGGAACGAAATGAATACTAAAATTTAGTTTTTTTTTTTTTTTTTTTTTTTTTTATATTTGTTTAAAATATTATGCCAAAATCAATTGATATTATACTCATTCCGTCTTAATTTTAAAAAGTCTTTTTGGAGCATTAAAAACTAATAATATTTTATTGGTCATGTAAGACATTTTGATATTTTTTTAACTTTATGTATAAAAATTTGTATGTGTAATAATAACATGTTCGTAATTTAAATAAAAGTTAAATATATTTTGGTATTATTGTATGATTATTTTTCTTAAAAATAGAAAGTTGATAATTTTAAATGTGATAGACGAAAATGGTAAAAAAAATATTTTGATTTATGACGGAAGGAGTATAAAACAATTATTTCAATTTAAAATTATATTATTCAAAATTTATATTAAAATTCAAACCTACACCCAAAACACACTATCCCAATAAATCATTTTCGATGTGCTTCTTCATCAGTATTAAAAATTTCCGTACCATAAAAAATTACCATGAATTTTTTGCTTTGATTTTTAAATATTAATTATTATATTAATATGTAATACAAAATAAAAAGAAATAAAAAAATATATCTATTAGTTTTATAAATACAAATATAATAATATTTTTGGAATAAAGTATATATAAATATAAAAATATTTTTAATATAAAATATAATAGCACAAAATATACATAATATCCTTATAAGATAGAGGTACTATATACATATGTTCGTACAAAATATCATATTTTATTATTTTTATGTGACTAATAATAGTGGTAATTAAATATATGTAATATGAATATAGAGTGTATTTGTTTGAAGAATTTGTGTGTATTTATACTTTTTACACAATTTTTTTTTTCTCATAAAATATCAAATTAAGCAGTTATTTTTTATTTTTTATATTATACTAAAAATTACTTTCACATTAAAAAATTTATTAATACATATTTATATCACATCGTACAACTATTTAAATTCAAATATGTTACTATTTAAATCCACATAAAAAATAAAATTTTATTATAATACCCTATCGGGGTCATGCTGATTTTTTCAGGAGTTGAGGACTTCATCGGTAAACAACACCCTCATTTCTATATATAATCTAGTTTTAATAACATTAATAATTTAATATAAAATATTATAATTATGACGGACATAAAAAAATATTTTAAAAGTAAAAATACAAAATAATTGTACTTTAAATAAATTAATTTAAATTAGTTAATTTAATTTTTATTATTATTTTTTTAGTGTCTATATTTTAAAAAAACAAAGTTTTGAATTGAACCACTATTAATTAAATAAAAATTCTAAAAAATATTAAATCAATATTTATTTTTTATTTTTTATATTATACTAAAAATTAATTTTACATTCACAACATCACATCACACTTATTTGTATCACATCATACACCTATTCAAATTTAAAATTTTTATTATTTAAATTCCAACTTCAAATCAAAATCCAAGACAAACACACCCTATATTAATTTAAAAAAGTAGATCAACAAAATTATTTAAAAATTATTCTCCATTAGAAAAAAATAAAAAAAAGAGAAAGTTGTAAAAGAAAAGATAGTATAGATTGTATCGACGCCGGTTCTCGTCTGCGTCTCTCCAGCAATTCCATGGCTTCGTATCATCCCATCTTTCTTCCTCTATTCATACTGCTTTCTGCTTCCGTACTTGGGATCTCTAACGGGTTCATCCCCCTCCCCTTCTTCTTCCTCTTTTTACTTTTGAAAATTAGATTTGAGTTCTATATCACTATTTAATTCGGAATTGTTTTAGGGTTTCTTTTGATTCCGTTGAATTGGCTATCATTGGTTGTTAATTTCATTCCATTTTATTTGTTTTCCAGGAGTGTGGAGGGCTATAGTATAAACGGTAAAGTTAGATTTCCAGGTATGTACTCTCTTACTGCTATTCGATCGCATCTTTACATGGAGGGTTTTGGGTAGGGTAGTTTATGAATTCTTCAAATTTCTTGTAATTCAAGCAGATCTTACATAAGAAGACGTCTTGAGTAAATAATCTGCAGGCAGTATAAATTTTAAATGTTCAGTTTGGCAGCTTAGAGTAGCAATTTTTGTTTGCCCAATGCCCAATTGATGTATTCATTCACTTTTTGATGATTACTTGCGTTGTCTTTGACTTTCGCTCAATTTGGCCTTCAAACTTAAAATTTTACGCTGAATTATTTCGAATCTGTTCTAACTTGAAATTATCCAAATGAAAGCGAAATACTGAAAATTTCTTACTTCTTTATGTTCAATTAAACCCTATATAATCTTTCTGATCTGATGTCCTTTTGAAATTTTCTGGAAACCTTGGTCTGGTTGGATGATCGGCTGATTAAGAGTATTCCTGTAAAATTATAGAATCTTTTGTAACGTTTGCTGGAGTTAACTGCTTAGCCTCCTTGTGAAATGCCAAATGTTTAACAAATACCTGTGGACAGAATGAAAATCCACCAAATAATCTCCATTCTCCACTTAAAAAAGGCAATTTATTTTTCCACAAGGGTTCTATGTGATTATTTGAAAAATGTTTTTAGAGTTTTGACAAACATGAGCACCTGTAAGTGTGCTTGTTTGTGTTTTGGATATTTTGAATTGGAAATTTCTTGATGGAAATTAGGTTTTGGTTATGATGATTTTTTGAATGGAAAGTAGCTTTTGGATATGCAGATTTGAAGGGAAAAATAGATATTGGATATGGCATTTTTTTAGGGGAAAATTAATTGCTGTAAATGCATAGTGCGAAAACAAGATTGAAAGCACAAACTAAAACACTTTGTTTTTCCACTAGAAAGTTTCTAGAACATTTTGAATCTAAGAGGGGACCCAATTTTACAATTTCCCCTATTATTTAATTACATTGAATTAACTCCTTTCTTTTCTTTGGTATCGGTTTAATCTCTTTTCCTCAAGGCGTCAGTCCGGCAGGAATTGGTCTCCCCGCAAAGATATCCAATGTCAAAGTGATACTTAACGGAGGCCAACAAGTTACCTTCCTGAGGCCAGATGGCTATTTTTCATTGTATCCTACCATTTTCATATATGCCTGAATTACTTCGAGGATCTAATATTTCACACATTTTATTGAGAGTTATGATTTGATTTTATTTTACCTAAAAAATTGCATCAAATGTTTTCTACCCTTTTAGAATGAAGAATATAGTTATGTCTACCAATTAACTCCCATCTCTAAAATATGCTAATAGTATTATAAATGGACTGTCTGCTGTTCTTTAACCTTGTTTGTAGCCATAATGTACCAGCAGGAACGCATCTTATTGAAGTGGCAGCCATAGGCTTTTTCTTTTCTCCGGTGAGCATCTAGTATTTTCTTCTTTTTCTCATTGTTCAATCTCCTGGATGTGTTGAATGTGATGCCAGAAAGAATTTCTTTGGGTTCAGGTCCGGGTTGATGTGAGTGCCAGAAATCCTGGTAAGGTCCAGGCTGCTCTTACAGAGAATAGGAGGGTATTGAGCGAGCTGGTGTTGGAGCCTTTGAGAGAGGAACAGTATTATGAGGTTAGTTTGGTTGCAAGCATGAAATTCTCGATGTACTTATTTGCTTTTGGCGATCACTCATTCTATGAGCTTTTCTCTTATCATAAATTGCAGATAAGAGAACCCTTCTCTGTAATGTCCATCGTGAAAAGTCCAATGGGGCTGATGATTGGGTTCATGGTGATTGTGATGTTTTTGATGCCAAAACTAGTGGGTAAGTTGTCTCCTTTGCCTTGCCTCTATTCGCCCTTTACTTTTCAATTCTTGATTGTTTGTTTTTTGGATAATTGGTACACTTGGACACCATTTGCAAAAGCTTCTGTTGTGCTTGATGGTAACTAGAAGTTAAAACCAAAAAATCTTATGCTATTGAAGTTTTTATCAATTATCACAATCATAAAAATATTAATTGTGGGAGTTGGAAAATGACAATTCCAATATGAATTCTGAAAAGCATTTTAAACCTTGAAAAATAAAGTTGATAAAATAAGGATGTTGAAGGAATCTCTTTGTGAATATTCAGGAAAAATATTATTTTATAGTGACTAAATTATGAATATAAAACCTATTTTGAGTTTAAGATTTTTTATTTGAATTTTGGTTTAAATAGTATTTTAATGTAATATTTTGTGACTGAAAATAATACTTTCCGTAAGAAGAGTATTATTTGCTTTTTACACTTAGATTTTTAATAATAGTATTATATTTGTTTATAGTAAAAAAGACAAATACTTCTATTAGTATTGTGTAATATAAAAGTAGTGATATTTGTATTAATATATTGTAAGTTGTAAGTGTATTTATTATGTTAAGTAAGTAATATAATTATTAAATTCGAAAACGTCACTCTTGTTTTGGGACGGACATAAATTGAAAATGGTATTTTTCTTATGGGATGGAGAGAGTATATTTTTATTGAAAACTGATTATATTGAATAGAGGTGGTTTTAATTTGAATTCAAAACCAAACACACCCCTTACTTCAAAATAGAATCAAGAAGCTGTTGGCCTCAAACTGTGATTAGAGTTAAGTGAGTGATTTGAATATCATCATTAGCATTTACCGTGTGATGGGGGTATATGTTGGACGCTGAGTGAACTTGTTAATGAATCAACTGTAACTCGGCACTTGGCATTTGTTCTCGTGATTCTTAATTATTGTTTAAACTGCTTTACAACAACTTGGTTATTCTTGTGCTCCAGATCCCGAAGAATTGAAACGGGCTCAAGAGGAAATGGGAAACCAAGGTGTGCCGTCCCTCGCCAATTTTCTAGCTGGAGCACAGAGGACAAATTAAATATATTTGGTCCAAGGAAAGAGATGCTGAAGATCAATTTGTTATGTTGAGATTTTGTGTTTCTCCTGCAAGAAATGTTAACAGCAATTGGATTATTCGATTCCCTTCCTGCAGGTTTCCTTTAGCACAAGTTTCTCTGTATCTCATCTTCCACAGTTGATTTTGTTAACCAACTTACATATTGGATACTTCATTTATATGATTAAGAAAGGCTAGTCCAGAGTTGATTCACTCAGACTGAATTTGTTTTGTTTCTATTTAGCCCCCGTGGTAGATGAAAAGGATAATGTATTTTACAAGGACTATGTTTTAGTTGTTATATTATACTGTCTGGATACGATGCCTAAATTGTGAATGAGTTCCCGAGCAAGGTTTATTTCATCAATGTTCATTTGTTATCAGTAGCTAAATCTTCCTGACTGGAAGACCACTTTACAAGTGATCTAAATTGCTATACCTCCATTGTTGTCTCGAATATTACATTACGAGCTGTGAAATCTTTGAACAGCTTATATTTTTCACCAGAAAATATGTGGTCAACTATATCGAATGATAAATGTACTGAATAGCTTGCTATGGTAAACTGTTTTACTATCGACCATGGACTATGATCACTTAGAACAATGATATACAGCATGAATGTATGGCTGTCTGTGGTCAAGCTTTACGAACAAGCCGGGACATGAACATACGGCATCTGCACGAACACTATGGAGAGAGGCGCGACGCGTATTGGTTCCAAAGGATTCACCTTTGCAGGTTCCAGTGTAGGTATGATCCCTGATGAATTTACGGATAATATTTTCCCATTCAAAAGCACCGTCTGGCTATGCAGATCGCCATCCTTGGCTGTCAAATGGTACTCTTGTCTCGTAATTTCGTCTTTCTGTATGTTGTCTTGCTCTATTTTGTTAGTGATTCTTGTCTTCAGGTTTTGTTGTTGTGCAGTGTGTCCGGGCGTGGACGATGTCTTGTTTCCAATGGCATCTGGGATCGAGACAGAAACTTGAACTGCAGTGCTGTTGTCCAGGTTTATCAGTAGCAATGTGATTCCAGCCTGCGACATTTTTCAGGTTCAGATCATTGTTAGAAGGTGAAAATTCATTTGGTCGATGTGGTAAGGCTTTACTCACCGAATTCCTTGAACAATGAGAGTATGCGCGAATCTTTTTTGTCCCATCAAAGCTTGTCGACAGGACGGCTCTTCCCATCAGGCGGTGCCAGAGGAGCGCGCTGTAGAAGTCGGGATTCGGGTGAAAGCTGGTGATGTTGAGCAAGCCGTAGTTCCCACCGATGAGGGACTGTCTGCAGTATGTTTTCGTGTCGAAAGAAGAAGACATCCCCAGCTGATCCAGGTACCTTTTCATTTGTTAAGACGAATATGATTTTTATGAGCGGACAAAGGAAATGTGAAAGCGATGAACATTTCCGGATGAGGAAAATGGTGTGTACCAAAAGCTAAAGACGAATGCATTTGTGACGAGATTGCGGCCGCTGTTGTATGCCCCTCCAGCCTCGCCTACCCATGCGACGGCTGAAGAATTCGGCGTGCTGTTCACGATGTTCTGAAGATCGCGGAATGGCGGCACCATGTTGTCGAGCCAGGACGGATCCAATATCCTTTCCACCAAATGTTCTTCCACTCCTGTTAGAATCAATCAAGCATTGAATGGTGAGACTTGATTATCGATTTCTTTTTATTACATATTGATTAAGAATGATATATATATGACCTGGACCCAAGTTGTAGATATGGTGTGTGACAGCTTGAAGAGATGAGGATGCGCCGGCGACAAACTTGGCAAACCAGGTATGATCGAAGAAGCCGCCGGGGCCTATGACTAGCGGCTTGTGGTCGGATTTGTTGTATGCGTCGTCGACTGTTTTCTTGAGATTGATTATATCTGAAGCGTATTGGCCTGCATCAACCCGCGCGCCGACTCCATTCCCGCTGAGCTCGTTCCCTGTCGACATCCATGGATTGTTACAAAGTTGTCTGTGAATCATTGCCCTCATTTGAAAGAGCCTGTTGTGGGGAATTGGGATGATGGAGTGCATTGCTTACCCAGCTCCCAGCCGTAGATAGGGTAGCCATTGCCGACGGTGTACCTTATGAAGGATGCGGCATTGCCGGAATTCCATGCTCCGGTGCAGCTTCCGTCGGCTCTAATGGTTCTTCCCGTTAAAGCATTCAGTCCGAATATGATCTTGGCTCTGCATTCAGTGCCCACCACCACCATCAAAATCAGTCACAAGTCACAAGTACAACCTCTCTCTCTCTCTCTCTCTCTATATATATATATATGTATGTATTGATTGAAATGGATTGATTTGAGAGGTAGGTACCCACCCGGTGGCGTTGAAGAATGTATTCAACTCATCCCAGCGGGACAAGGGGAGGCAGCCTTCGTTGTAACCGAAGAGCTGGGAGGTGTTCTTGACGAAATCAGGGCAAGGTTTGGGGTCGTCCTTGGTTTGGTATCTCAGCTTGTCCTGCAATGTCCCTCCCAATCGAATCTTCAATGGAGAAAAGGCTGATGCAGACAGACAGACAAATAGATCTCAGTTGGCATTTGGAAGTACAAATGGAAAGAAATAAATACAGAGAGACAGACCTACCTTTGACTGCGTTGATTAAAATCTTGTTGCTCAGATCCTACGCAAAGAAAGAAGCAAAAGCACCAGTCAGTTAAATTGGAGAAAAATAGGAAGCAATGCAATGCAAAGGAAAATGGAGAGTACGAGTTGGAGAAGAGAAGCAGTGTCCCAGCTACAAGTGCCATAGTCGCATTTGGTGGAAGGCCACCAGTCGAGGGTGGCACACACGAAGTTGCTGTTTGTCTTCCCTATGGGGATGCTTCCATTAATGCCCACTGTTCCATTCACTGCTACTGCTACTGCTACTGCTGAGTAGAGGTAGAGGTAGAAGAAGGACAGGGACAGGGACAGGGCTGGGAAGGAAGCCGCCGCCATGGACAGACACTATCAGCAGCAGCAGCAGCAATCACAAGATTAATGGTATGTAATAACAGGTAGGCATGGAGGTGTGTGCCTATTCACTATCTATCTATCCATTTATATATATATATATCAGTATTATTATTATGAAGATAAATGGTAAGCAGTATCTGAAAGGGGAAGGGGAGGGGTGGGTCACTTTCTTGAGAAGGATTAAAAGGAATCCTTTTGCATACCAGGATAACGCTATCTGAGCTGTCCTTGATTAAGACTTTCTCTCTCTCTCACACACACACACGCATGTCTATATATGTATCTAATTTCCATTCCCAAGAAAAGAAGAAGGTGAAAGTAGGGGGGGTTGGGAGAAATGGGATATGGTTATATATATATATATATATATTTGTGAACATGATTAGTTTTACTAGGTTTGCATTATCATTACTACTATTATTATTATTATGAGTGCATGATTGAGGGAAACAGCTCAGCTGATTCTATCTATATATCTATCTATCTATCTCTCTCTATATATATATTTTCTTGCACGGCGGATCACCTGTGTGCAGTTGGTGACTGAATCTTTTGACTGACTGACTGACTGACTTAGTAGCCGTTGTTAATAATTTAAGCAAAGAGGAGAGGGTGAGGTGAGGTGAGGTGAGGTGGTGGGAATTAAATTCATTGTTTTGTAGAGTAGAAGCTAAGGGAGGGTGAAACCAACTGATTTGTGGGTAGACACACACTCACTCACTCCCACATACATATATCTATGACACTATAGCATGTGTTGTTAGTTCGTAATGCGCTCTGTTTGTAATAATACTGTTCCATACGTTGTATTTATATTATATTAATCTATAGTGCGTGTGATGTTTGTAGTAATATTATATACTGATGGGAACGGTAGTTGCCCTCATGTCATCTATGTATATCTATCTATCTAGACAGGTAGTTCTACTTGTGCAAGGGTGGTTGCAAGTTGTGACCTAGTCAGTGAATCAAGTTGCAACCTTTTTCAGACATTGCCTCCCTGCTCATCCAAGAAAAGCCCATTCCATTTGGACTAGGACAGTTATTCACTGAATTAAATACATATACATAACAACAGCAGCATATGTCAACACATGAGACAAGTGGTCTCCTCTCCTCTCCTCACAGGTAAATGCTATATCACTGACGCCATAGAAAAAGCCTCATAGGAACAAGACAACAACAGCAACTGTCGTAATAATAAATAAAATTAACAGTAAAATCATGTCACTATCCATCTCTTTGGCAGATTTCCATAGAACCAACTAACTGATTTATATTATATTGTGCTATATTAATACCAAATCATTCATCTGATTGTTTGTGAGTGAGAAATCTTATCACTTGCTTCTTGCTTGCATTGTGTGCATAAACTAACTAGCTAACTAACTTGAGCTTGTAAGCAAGCAAAACTCTGTTAACATACCCATTATTGGAATTTTTGATCCTAATGGTTAATAGTTTTTTTGGTTTTTTTTTTTTTTTTTTTTTTTTTTAATAAATTATATTAAATATTTATTTATTTTTTAATATAAAATATTACTGTATATTAAATGAAGAAGTGGTCCTAGATAATAGTAAGTAAATAGAAGCAATGGGCCGCCATGTCTTTTAGAGACAATAAGATGAAGGCTGTTATGCTATGTTCGTTGAATGTCTTGGAGTAAAATGTACTCCTTCCCACTCAAATATTGTGCAATATTTTTCGACATGAAAATTTAGATAGATAAATAGAATAATTTGAGAATTAAGTGATATAATGTGAAGTATCAATTAAATATATTTAATTATTTTTATTTTAAAAATATTGCAGAATATTTGGAACGGAGAGAGTATTTTATTTAATAACATTTTGAAACTACAAAATAATATTTTTGATGTAATAGATCTTTTTTTTAAAATAAAATTGTTTTTGATTAATAATGCAAAAAATAAAATTTAATATAAGTAACCAAAGACTTTGGTACTATTTATACAAAAAAACTTGGAAGTTTTAGGATTTTGAAATTTTTTAAAAATAATAAAAATTTAAATATTAATGTAAACAGAGGATGTGTTTCCTTTGTGTTTTTTATGAATATATTTTTATATTAGATATAGAAAATTGTATCAATAATCTAAAATATAATATTTCTGTTTTAGGAATTTTGATAATTTTTTTTTGAAATAATAGAATATATATTATACTGTATATTTTGTATATAATTATGTGTGTATATTATATATTTTTTAATATTTGTATTTGTAGAAAGTTATTGCAGGAACAAACCTAGAGTTTTCCAAAAAAAGAAGAGTTTTCAATATAATGATTAAAATAAAAAATAAATATTTGATATGATATTTTTAAAAAAATTATAATATCAAACTTTTCATGTAAATAGAGTCTTTATTATTATTATCTTAATTTAGATGATATAGTTTCAGTACTATTATTATTTTTAAATATCATTTTGCTCTTAGATTTTTTTTTAAAATAATTTTTAAATTATATTTATAAAGATAAAGATAAAAATTAGGTATAAATGATGGAAAAGTATAATTACTAAAACTGTAAAAGGGCCGCCTATGACCAGGCCCAGGCCCAGGTCCAGGCCCAGGTCCAGGCCCAGACCTATTATAGTATTTTTATGTGGGCTATATATTATCCATTTGCCAAGAAATAATTCAGCCCACATGAGCCCATTTTAAGTATTATTTAGTGAAAATAACTATCCCTAGCAAACAGTGACGGAACCAGCTTTGCGGCTGGGGGGCAAAATTGTTATGTTTATTTGTTTCATTTTTTTATTGTTTATTTTTAATTTCAATTTATTTCGAGTCTATTTTTTATTTAAACGGTTGTTTCCGTGTGTACAAAAAATAATATAAGAACTTTCTCGTCGATTCATTTATACCAACTTGATGTCATCTTTAACTTTTTCAGTTTTTATTAACACTATAATATGGTTATGAAGAAGAAAAAAAATGAACGGAAACAATATTTAAGATAAAATATTTTATTTTTTTATATAATATATTTATAAATAAAAATATTATATATTATTATAAATTAAAATAATAATAATATAGAGGTTTATGTAGAGTATTAATCCCAAATTGGAGGGACAAATTTGATTACTAAATAAAAAATTAGAAAAAATTACATTTAAAAAAAAATTTGAAAAGGGCTTGGAGGGTCAGTTGGCCCCTGAAGCCCCAATGTAGATCGTCACTGCTAGCAAATATGGTAGATAGAACACCTTCGATTAATATTATCACTTCTAATGAAATTTTATGGTATGAATGTAGAAATTTATTATTAATGTTATTGATTATTGTATTGAATTTTTATTTCAAAAATTTACTATAAGGACGGTAGGACTCGAGACTAAAACTATGATATAATGTTAGATGATGTAAATGACTGTCTAATTTAATAGAGGTGTTGGTGGACTTCTGTTTGTAAGTAAATAAATAAATGATGTACATTTTTAATAATTTAAATTTTTAGGTGAGTCGATCATTTATATAATCTAACAAGGTTGGTATAAAAGGTTAACTCATGGATATACAATACTAAAAAATGTATTAAATATAAGAAAAAAAACATAGTTATAATAACATGATGAAATTTAGGTTTTATTCACTTTATGTATATTTTTTAACCATTTAAACATTCGATTTTCACTCAAATATTATATTAAATACCTATTTTTATACATAATATCTGTTCTATAGCAATTGATACACTTTCCATTTTCGCATATCTCGTAACAATGGACGCATTTCTATTTTAGATAAAATTTACTAAATCAAAACATAACAAATATAAATCAACTTAGTTAACTACATAATGTATAATATCATACTTCATGTAGGATTCACTTAAAACCACTTTATTTCTATTTCTTTTCTAAAAAAATAAATATTTTTTTTATCTATATTTAAAACTCCACCGTTTTATAATATTAATTTATATTAATTATAGATAAATAAAAGTATTTTTTTTATTTAATTGTATTATAAAAATTTTTATTATTTACAAAATAATATCCATATGCATATTCTTTTATCGAGATATAATTTCTAAAATATTTAAATACATATTCTAATTTTTTAAGTATATATATTAAGTTTATTTTAAAATTATCAATATTATTAATTATATAAAAAATAATAAAATAATACTCGGTGTTCCCTAACAAAAATGATCAATCACTTTAGGACGGAAGGAGTATCATATTCGACAACTAGTTCACTTAAAAAAAATCTCTTAAAAAATAATTAAGAAAAAAACACGAAAGAAATACTCCATCCGTCCCAATGCAATAGTCATGTTTACCATTTTTGTCCGTCCTAAAACAATAGTCTCATTTCTATAAATAATCATATCACTATAAAATTATTCTTACTTTTTCATTATTATTACACAATTGCTACTACTTTTTACACTAATACACTCACAAGGGCAAAAATATCTTTTACATGTACTTTTTACCTACTACCAATATAATATCAATACTCCTTAAATCCCGTGCCAAACACAACCCAGACTATAGTTATTGGACGGAAGGAGTAATAAATATCAAAACATATACTACTTAATAGTTACCTGAATGATGAGAAGACGACTTGTAGAAATTTGATACAAAAGAATAACCTACTTCATGGATATAAATATAAATATAAATATAAATATAACTATATATATATATATATATATATGTGCAATAATAATATTATTTTGAATTCAATTCCTACATTTAAGAAAAAAAATCTACTTTTATATGTGATTTTAATTGACAACTATTCTCAATCATCATTTTGGGTATAAATCATAATTCAATTGGAAGCCATAATAAATATGCTCTTATTCTATAATTAATACACAATCACATGATATATAGATATTTATATATTAGGGATTCCGCGGCAAAAAGGAAAAATCAGCAACGTTGTAAATTTAAATTACTACAAGAAAAAATTATTTTTGTAACAATTTTTTTTTTTTTTTGTCTCTAAATCTACTTTTTCGTTACTAATGACATTAGAGACGGAATTAGGAATGGAATTACGTTAGCTACGTGAACTTTAGGGGACGAAATTCCGTTACAAATAGATTATTTTTTTGTAGTGAATACTATTTTCCTTCGACTTATTATTACTCCCTCCGT